TATGATAAAAATAATTCTATCATCTCTCATAGGTTTCCGATCAACTGATTCTCCTGCAGTTTGAACTTTGACTCTCGATAAACTTGAGCAGTTCTTCAATGCATTAGGGATCGAACCACTTAAATGATTGCGATGGAGGTACAACTGCTGTAAATTGGTGAGATTGCCTAAACTACTAGGAATGGAACCAGTTAGCTGATTATCTGCGAACTCTAGATCTATCATGAATTTCAAATTGCCAAGCTCTCTTGGGATCGAACCAACTAACTGATTGTTGTAGAGGTGCAATAATTTTAGATTGGTGAGATTACCTAATGACTTTGGGATTGGACCGTTAAGCTCATTGCCAAATATGCTCAATTCCTGAAGTGTTCTTAGTCTACCTAACTCAGGGGGAATCTGACCAGAGAGTTTATTGTTGAAAAGAAACAGCAGTTCTGATTTAGTCAAGTTCCCAAAAGTAGGTGGAATTGGACCCGAAAATTTGTTTCCATTCATGTAGATTTCCACAAGATTGTGAAGATTTCCCAACTCTGTAGGAATAGGACCAGAGAGTAGGTTGTCATTGAGGAAAAATTATGTCAACTTTTCCAAATTGGCCAAGGAATCAGCAGGGATGAAACCTTGAAGATAGTTTGAACTCAAAGTGAGACCAACTAGTGAGGCTAATTGTCCTATCTCTCCAGGGATTGAGCCATTGAACTGATTATCATTAAGGTGAAGTGTTTGGAGATTCTTTAACAGCCCAATTTCAGGTGGGATTTCATTGAACAAGTGATTGGCTTGCAAATCAAGATAAATGAGCTTGGAGAGGCTACTTATCTGTGGTGGGATGCTGTCAGAAAGTTCATTGATGGAAAAAATCAAGGTATTCAAGATTAGGGAGTGATAGAAATGGGAAGCTGTATAGTGTACCTCTAATATTTGACACGGTGAGGTTCAGCCTGTTGACACTTCCATTAACGCATGAAATGCCATACCAGTCGTAAGGGCTAGTGTAGGTGGGAATTGAAGAATTCGTGATGGGCTGGAGCTGCCATGAACTAAGCAGGGGGCTGTTGGGATTGAGAAGATTGGATTTCCATCTGAGAAGAGAAGCTGCCTCTTCTTCAGCAGAAGATGGATCAGCATCAGCTCCTAGCACGCAAAATAATGACAAGAGAACTATAGCTCAGTGTAACATGATGAAAGGCTTTCTTCATTGTGGAAGTTGTTAGACACGAGTCTTTCTTTTATATTCAACTCAATAGATTTAAACAACTCCCAGTTGTTGAAGATGAAAATAGATTTCAGAACTGCTGCGTAAAGAAAGAAAGCTGACATTCAATTTAGGTTGTTCAAGGTTGAATTGATATTTGACTACTAACACGGTATCATCTAAGGGATCATGTAAACAAGTCGCCTCTCGACTGTTTTGTAGATAGTAATTAGCTCGTGTCAACGCGAGTGCAATTAAGCCCGACAACTTCTTCCGGCTCCAACGTAGCCCGATTCTTTCGTATTGAGTTTGAAGTTTGAACTTGACATTAACAAGGTGAGCACCAGTTCCAGATCGTTTGGACGGATTGACTTGAGTTCGATATTGATCTGTTAGACACTTGACTAATCTTGAAACTTTTGTTATCATGTATTGGTACGTGTTATGTATTCCATGAGATTAATAAGATTTTTTAGAATAAAAACGTGATAAAAACTGAAATCATGTCAATCATGTTGTGTCATATCGGGTTGTCTCTGTAAATCGTATCGTCCTGTCGGAAATTGACACCCATATCCATATGTACTATTGTTGATACTGAAATATGCTGGCAAACATGTCTCTCGGTAGTTAGATCATGCAGGAAAAAATCCAACGTTGGTAACTCCATTCAACATGCATGTGTGGAACACACACCTTCTTTCCCTCAGTTTTTTTTTTTTTTTGTATTTATGACGTATGTAAGCTCAGTTATAAAAAAAGAATATGATGTATTTGATTCATTAAGAAAATACTGAAATGTAATATTTCGTCCACTTCTTTACTTTCTCTCATCTATTTTTATTTTGTAAAGCTTTATAACAATTTTCTTCTAAAACGACTAGACATATAGGGTAAAATAGAACACCATTTATATCAATTACTTTGATGTCTATTCCATATTGAAATGATATTTTAAGAGGATAAGCATAAAACGAGTTCCATCTAACCTGTGTAATACTATCTCCGTCCCACAAAAATAGATCATATTGAATTTTCAAATTTGTACTAAAAAACAGTATAAAATTCAAAACTCAATATGGACTATTTTTGTGGCACGGAATTACTAGTATAATTGTGTAACTGTGTAACGTAACATGAAAAAATGAACATCTTATCAGCAGGTAGTAACTAGTAACTCTACTTTTGTTTTTGAGAGCAAATCAAGGCGACCAGTTAAATATAACAACTTGTCCATTCCATTCATCACTTTAAATTTGAAGCCATGCATGAGCAGCAAAAGATTCCATCCTATAAAATTGGTGGTGGAGGTGGATGAACACACAGCCACAGAATGATGGTTGTGATTCTGGTGAATCTGGAATGTCATTCATTCCGAATATTTTGGAAAAGGATATTATTAAAAGATTCCATTTCTTTTTCTTTTTTTTTCTGGTTTTCAACCTTGCTTATTGGATTTTTATCAATCGCAATATCTCAACCCCCTTCGTTTTGGGCATCTTCAGCATCAGTACAGATGTCTGAACAACAACAACATAAAAGAATCCCAAAATTCAAAAGTTAAGGGAAAAAATAATAATTGACAAGTAATTGTGGACGTGTACTTATTTGATTAATATTTAATATAACGGACAGATTTTGTTAGGGTGTGTGGTTAGGGATCGGCAGTGTTGCACCTATCACCAAATGTTGACTTTGTTGATGATGAATTGATGATCATGTGATGTTGAAAGGGTAATTGAGATTTGAGACTTGTCCATCTCTCATTTTTGTATTCCACAAAGATATTGTCCCTTCGGTAATTAATTACTAATCATTTGTACTGCTTTGAAATACTTTTCTTTTTTTTTTTGGTTTAACAATTTGGCGTAATTTCCATACTGTTCCTAGTATAGTAAGTGTTCAATATAAGTTTGGTGGGGATTAATTATGGACTCTCTACCTCTTCAAAATAACAAAAAGACGATTTTTAAGGGGGCACATATTATACTACTTCCTTCATTTGTCTCTTGGCAACTATAATAAATCCGCTAAACTTCTGATTTTTTGTTAAATAAATTTGATTGAATCATTCATCTATGGGTAGTTCTTTTTTCAATATATTAATTTGAGAAATACTCCCTCCGGTCCATATTATAAAGCATTATGATTAGTCCTAAGTTTTACCTAGGATGCCTTTTTAATCGAAATAAAAAATTTAAAAACATTTCATAATAATTAGGAGAACACAAGGAATGTAAAAAATATATGTTTAAGATTTTTTCTCTAATTAAAAAGACATTCTGGGTGAAATTTAGAATAAAGTCAAAATACCTTATAATAAGAACCAAAGGAAGTATTTTTTTTTGTTTTCTTGAAAGTCAATAGATTAAAACGCATGATAATGAGGTCAGTATTAGTTACATTTTACATATTTGGCGTGACATTTGGTAACACCCTAGGTAAAAATCATAGATAATAAAAATGACGTGTCAAGATAAACATGCTACATTACAATATTTACATGGAAAAGTTCAAGAATTTGTGATGTTTGATTATTTCATGGCATGAACCTGTATTGAATCATGATGATATAAGAATCACATTTTTATTTATTTATTTATTTTTTGGAGCTTGTTGGTTAATTTTATTGTTTTTTCGACCTCTTCGAAAAAGAAAATATAATGAGAAATGACTAAGACCCTTTTTTTTTTCCCAAACAAATTGAGAAATATGCATTGTTTTGGTTTAGGACAAAGTGACGTGGTCGTGGAGTGATTTCGTCAACGTTTATCAAGAGTCGCGCTTTCCTATGTCAATCCCCATAATATTCCAGCCTTGTGGTATTATCAATCAAAAAGGACGGTTCTAGTTATCTGAACAAAACTGTAAAAAGTACAGTCAGAGCAGCATCAGTTCGGATTCAGATATTGATGATGATTATTGATGACGGTGATCTTAATCATACAGTAGTAGTAGATGGAGTATCTTTTATGCTTTTATTACAATCATTTATTTATTTCCTTTTCTAGTAAAAATGCCCCCATCACTTCCTCACTTCATCCATCATCTCCGACAGTTTGTGTTATAGATAAGATGATTATCCGCTATTTTTGACAAATTTGACGTTGTAATTACTCCCTCCATTTTTTTTATATGTCTTTCTAGAATAATCATCAAAACAAACATTAAGTATTGTAATTAAATTACAAAACCACCCTTATTTATTGTCAATACAATTCATCACAAACCAATAGAAATTCATTATAAATACTGTTTCATTTTCAATATAAAGGTAATATTGATAACAAAATGGTCAAATATGTTTCGATTTGTGCAAACGACATATATTTAAAAAAATTAACCAAATTCTAAAACGACATATATTTTAAAATAAAGGAAATATATTATATATGGTTGCTGTAATAACACTGATCTCATTTCATTTATCCAAATGTTCCAAATTATGAATATATCTAATAATAGGTAGAACAATGACTTTCAGGAATAGGAACACCTGAATTGCTTACTTGTCTACATTTTACACATAATAGGTAAAACCTTTTCTTTTCTTTATTACTACTACTATTTCAGGTGTTCAATTCAATGAAATTTTAAGAGATTAAGCACTTCAAATAAAAATTGTTTGATTATAACTAGGTGGATCAGTACATGCACAATCTTTCATTTCCACAATTCTCAATTTCTCTCCATTTCTTAGGCAGCAAAAAGCCAAAAAAATTTACTAACAGGTTACAAAAAGGAACTTTGATAATTATGTCTACATTGCTTACAGTATTACATTACACTATTATAATCTCAACTACTCTCCCTCCATTCATCCAATTCAAGATGAACTCAATATATAAAAAAAGAAGACTCGTTCACAATCTTGATAATACTAACTCGATGGCTCTCAGTATTAAAAAAAAGGGTTAAAAAACTGGATTACGTTGAAATGGAGTCGGAGATTTTCCCACTAAAATACGGTCCATGCCTTCCGGGAAGCCGCCGAAGCAAACATAAAGTAGAAACCACCTTCCCCTCACCAACTCACCAACTGGAGTAAATTTTTTTTTTTTTTTATGTTTACGGAAAAACAGAGCATTTGGATATATTATTATTACATTGATGCCCATTAAATTTCCCTGAATTTTGGATCCACTTTTATCATTTTTCGTCCTGATTTTTCTCTCTATTTATTCGGAACTTCTTTTCCAACATCTTTCTCTATCTTCGTTTTTTCCCTTCTCCATACCGTCTATTTTTATCCCTTTCACTCCCCACAGGCCACAACTTAGCTCTCTTCCTTGTGCCGTTGTCTCAGATTCAGGTAATTTCCTCTTCTACGGAATATATGGCTTTTTTTATTTTTTGCTTTACTTGCCTGGATAATTTTTGGAGGTGATGCTTATGTGAATTGTAGCCACTATGGATCTGTTTTTTCAGATTGAGCTTAACTTTCTCAGCTATTAATCTGATGGGTTCTGCATAAAGTTTTAATCTTTGCTCTTCCTAACATTGTGTTAAGATGAGTTTTCAATGGATAAAAAGATGAATGTTTTTTTTCTTCCCCAGCTCAATGAAACATTCCTTAGTTTGTTGCTTATGCGTATGGTGAATTTAATTTGTCGTCCCATGATTTTGGATCTGTTTTTTTTTTTTTTTAAATTTTATTTGTCTTTAATTTAGTTCAATTTTCTTAGCAAATGATTTTATGGGTTATGAATAAAGTTTCAATTTTCTCTCTGCATAACATTGTATTTTGGTGAAAACTTGTGATCTTTCCATGGAAAGAAGATGAATATTTACTGCCAACAGAAGCATTATATTTTGTTAGTAGTTTATTAACTCCCAATGTCCCTAAAAAAATAGTCCACTTTGAGTTTTAAGATCACTATAAATCTCAAAACTCAATGTGGATTATTTTTTTTGGATAGAGGCAGTATTATTTAAATTGAATCAACTTTCAATCATTTGATCTGCTGGAAGTCTTTGGTGATGGGTGGATCTGACTATCTTATGTTGTTTTGCTCTTCCTAGTGATTTTTTCCCCCCTTTTTCCATTTAGGGTTGATAAATTATGCATTCAGAGCGATTGCATCGAGCAACTTTTGTAGTTTTGCTCTGCCTACTTTTAAAAGGTAGAAGTTCTCTTGTTAATCTACACAAAGCAAAAATTTGATGGAAATTGGTGGATAGGAGTCCAAACTAGCTCTAACTTTGTAATTTTATATGGGGAACATTGTTTGTGTGAGTTATGGAAGCTATTAAAATAGCTACTGTTTGTTAGAAGATTATGTTTCTACTTGTGTAGTGGGAATCTCATTGGTGGGGTTCTAAGAAACGGGGTGATTATTTATGCACATCAATATCTTTGAGTTGTTACACCTAATCATCTTTGGTGGTGTTACTCATAATCTTCTGCTCATTTGACTTTTTGAATGCTTCTTGTTCTTTTGAGTTTTGCAATTTCGTAGTTTGTTCTGTTGTATAAATGGTTTCAAGTCGTAGGGCTTTTGAAACGCTCAGGTTAGCCTTTTCTTGCTTTCTCTAGTTATGTTCTTATTTGTATTGATCTCATATACTGCAGTTATTGGATTTGATTGAAGCAAAATGGAAGTTAGAGGAGGCTAAGTGCTATGTTCTATGGCATTGTCTGGTATTGTCTCTCTCTCTCTCTCTCTCTCTCTCCCTCTGTTGCAAGATACCTTGATTCATATTTTATGTGATGTGCTTTTTCAGTCAACTTAGAATGGGTAGTTTAATTTGTACTGTCATATGTAGATATCTGGGCAATGATTGGGAACAGCAACAGGTCAGGAAGTAGCATATTTGGAGCCGTAATTAAGCACAAGGACACCTGCAGCCAAAGTGAGGGAATGGAATTTGAGTCTGATTGGACCAAGCATCACAAATCATCAGCCTCCACTGCTCAAGCCATACGTTCTGCAACATCATTCATGCCTTGGTCTTGTAAGATATCCAGAAGCGAAGGATTTCACGAATTTCTTTAATCGGAAGCTAACACTTCTACTTGAAATCGATCTATTTAGTTGAAGAATTATCATCATGCTGTTATCAATCCTCATTGAGATGTTATAGTTCAAGAAATGCCTTGTTTTGTTTACGGGAAGAAGAGGACTACGGGTTCAAATATGTGTTTCACTACCAACCCTGTCGTTGAGGCACAGGATACTACTCAATCTCATTTTCAAGGCGGATCCCGCTCAGTCTCATCCAAGTTCTCTGATGATTTCTGTGTTACCACTCCCATCTTGCCAGGATTGCCTGATGATGTTGCCATGTATTGTCTTGCGCTGGTTCCTCGATCTAATTTCCCCGTGATGGGTAGTGTTTGCAAACGATGGAGGTCTTTCATTCGAAGTAAGGAATTTATAATAGTCCGAAAGTTGGCTGGCATGCTGGAGGAGTGGCTTTATGTCCTGAGTGTCGACCCTCACGGAAATGGCGGCAGCCGCTGGGAGGTTTTGGATTGCTCGGGACAAAAACACCTTGAACTCCCAATAATGCCAGGTCCCGTCAAGGTTGGTTTTGGTGTGGTAGTTCTAGATGGGAAGCTTCTCATAGTTGCTGGCTGTACTGTTGCTGATGGAGGAGCTATCTCTCCCTCTCCTGATGTTTATCAATATGATTCTTGCCTGAACAGGTATTATTTGTTTATTTACTTCGACGGGTTGATGTTATATTATTTGGTTTTTAATGGCACATCTGAGTGGTTTCCAGTGATAATGGTACATCTGAGTGGCAGTTATGTGTAGAAAGTATGACTTAATGAAATTTACACTGGTTTTGTGCAATTAGGGCAATAATACATGAGAAAATAATCGGGGAGCACTTTCTTAAAAGGGCATAATCTCTTCAAATCTAAACGATGATATTTGATTTGACAAGCAATATATAATCCATATTGTTGACACCAATTACCAGAATAAAGCCTTAGTTTTTATGATTGTAGACTTGTAGCAGTAGTGCAGAAATAGTCTGACCATGTTAGGCGTGGTGGAAGATTGTCCATATATGGAGGATATTTTCGTGTGTAAAAATAAATAACTTCAGTTTTTCTGGACAGCTGAATTTATGTTTTGATGCGTGATTTCATCCATCCTTGCACTTACTTTAAATGGTAATGATGTTACCCAGCTGGAGCAAATTACCAGACATGAATGTCCCGCGCTATGATTTTGCTTGTGCGGAGGTAAACGGCATGGTCTATGCTGTCGGAGGCTATGGTATAGGTGGGGAGTCCCTCTCCTGTGCTGAAATGTATGACCCTATTACCAACAAGTGGACTATGATTGAGCCTCTTCGTCGCCCTAGGTGGGGATGCTTCGCATTCGGGTTGGAAGGGAAACTTTACGTGATGGGAGGCAGGTCTAGCTTTACAATTGGCAATTCAAGGTTTGTTGATGTCTACAATACCAATATGCACGCTTGGCACGAGATGAAGAATGGTTGTGTCATGGTTACTGCTCATGCGGTCCTGGGCAATAAACTTTTTTGCATCGAATGGAAAAACCAGCGTAAACTGGCTATATTCGACTCTGACGATAATTCGTGGAAGATGGTGCCGGTTCCTGTGACGGGAAGCACGAGCATTCGGTTTCAGTTCGGCATACTGGATGGAAAGCTTCTTTTATTTCCCCTACAAGAGGCTCCTGGTTACATAACCCTATTATATGATCCAAATGCAGCCCCAGGATCAGAATGGCAGACTTCTGGTATCAAACCAGCTGGATCGTGCGTGTGCAGCGTGACCATCAAGGTATAATAAAAATCTAAATTAATTCCAGGAGAAAGATACCATTGATGGATCTTTCTAATGCCATTGTTTGGAATTGAATCCAAGTGAAGGATTTTATTTCTGCAACCGAAACTGTGATACGTGATGTGTTGTTGTATGTGGTTAATTTCTTAACTGATAAATTACTCTGTGTATTCGTGGACATTAAGTTGTCTGTGATGGAAGTTGGAACCATAGAGGCTAGAGCTTAGAACTTGCAGCTGCCAGTCTCTGGTTTAGATTACGATTCATGCTGAAGTATTTACGTGTGGTGTTGTAACAGTTACAAATACTGAATGAAATTGTAGTTACAACTATAGTTTGCAATACTTTTTTGACCTTTTGGATTTCATCAGTTGTGATTTGTAATTTTGTAACTCTTCTGTATTAACATTCTCCTTCATATTATGGTATAACGCGGATGCTTCTTTTGCCATTAAATAAATCTCTTACAAACAACGTTTAAAGTTCAAACAGATAAGTATACTTGTGAGTTTTATGGTAATTTGTGACAAAGTATTGTTCGAAAAATGAACTGGAAAGACCATAGCTGTTCATCTGGCTTGAACTTTGGATACGCTTCATTTTTTTGCTCTGCATTGTGATTAAGATCTTGATAACAACACATTCAACCAAAGCGCCAATTTGCATTCAAAAAATACATTGAAAGCGATTCGATTTCTTGTCTAAATCGCAAAACGTCTTCGAGGACAATACTATTCTATCCAATCTTCATTTTTGTATTAGTCATCATCTATTTGCTCAGTTCCAAAATAACAATCCAAAACAAACGTATGATGTCTCCACGACCCTCTTTTTTTTTTTTCTTTTTTTTTTCCTTCTCACAAGGTTGGAATATATTTATAGGTTTGTTGCGATACAGTTTCTCTATAAAAAAAAAAAAATGAAAATCTCAAACTTTCATAATTTAAAACTTCCCATAAATAGAAATGTACCAAAAAGCTGATTAAATCATCTTTTTTTTCTACTCCTTCATCGTGGTCTCCAATACACACTCTCTGAGAGAGGTTAAAAAAACGAAAGAAAGAAAAAAAAAAAAAAAAAAGAACGAACGAAAAGTCAAAAACTCCAAAACCTTCCGTTTCTTTCTCTCTTTGGCGCTTGCAAATCCCAAATTCATTCTTGCTGATTTCTTCATTTTTAGTTTTCATATACTTTATTACGTACTAGGTACGAGGCCTTCTCTCTGAATTTCACCCAAAAAAATTGCAGTTATACTAGAAACTTAGAGAAGAAGAGTAAGTAAGAAAAATTCGAGGTTGAATTTTCCGGCGGGAATCGGCGGCAATGGCGATCTTCAGGTTCAGCTCCGGCGACGTCACCGGATTTACGGTTCTGCTTGCCCTGGGGATCATGTACGGAGTTTTCTCTTTCCTAGCTTACTCCGTCACTCACATGAAGTTCATCACTCCCCTCGGAATCGACGCCCCGCTCGACCGCTTCTCCGAAGCCAGGGCCGTCCAACATGTCCGCGTTTTGTCCCAAGACATCGGCGTTCGCCAGGTCTTTTTCCCAATTTCTCTCTCCCTTCTGATATTCTTACTTAACTTGTATTTGTCAGTGTGTGTAATTCGTTAGTTATGTAGCTGAAAAGAGTTGGACTAAAAAGTACACGTGTTTGGATACTCGCATTTATTTCCATTGTATTCATTGTTGCAGTTAATGATTGATCATGCTTTGAATTGGCTTATAAACATCGCTGTAGGATTTATGATGACTATTCCGTGGAGCCCAGGGAATGAATAGTTTTTTTTTTTTTTTTTCTTTTCCTATTTAGTATGATTAATGTGTTAGGAAGAAAGTGAGGGTAATAATCAGTCTAAAAGGTAGGGGTGGACAGACATGTGAGTTGGAGGCAATAGATTTTCTACAACATGGACTGTGAGAGAATTAAGAATTATTTCTTCAAAATTAAAAAGGTGGGGAAGAAACTTAGAAAAGACTCAGACCTAAAACTATATGAAAAAAAGACACGATAATTTAAACACGATTAGATTGTGTGTTGGTATGATATATCCTGTCAGGGAGAGTAAGTTCATACAGTGTAATGGCTCTGACCTCTGGGAATGAAATGGCTCTGGTAGAAAGATGTTTCACTTTATAATGTAATTTCATCTTTACTGCAGCATTCTCTGAGCCATTTCGCTCTGTAAATTTACTGCTCCTACCTTAATCATGTTGAAAATATGTATTGGCTTGATTTAATTTGAGAGAACTGTCGTCAAGATATGACCCATAGAACTGGCATGATTTTGGGGGACAAAGACTTGCTTGTTTGATTTTCACATTATGGTAAAAACTTAATAACATTTAATTAAAATACTTATCTGTAGGAAGGGTCTCCTGGTTTAAGAAAAGCTGCTCTATATATTAAATCGCAGTTGGAGTTGATAAAGGAGAGGGCTGGACCAAATGTTAGGTTTGTATGTATCAGCTCTTTGGGCTTTTTAATGTTCAAATACTATATTTTTCCTTATGGGATTCGATTGACATGTTTATGGGGCTTCTGGTGTTGCAGAATAGAGATTGAAGAAACAGAAGTGAATGGAACATTCAGTATGGTCTTCTTAGGTCATAGTATATCGCTTGCTTATCGAAATCACACTAATATCCTGATGAGGTGAAAACTTGTCTTTCCTAATGTATTCTGCATGCTCTCTTGTATTCATGTTACTATGCAGACGGAAAGGTGATTTAATATATGATTTTGGAGTTTTAGGATATCTTCAGTAAATTCCCAAGAAAATGATCCATCAGTTTTGGTGAATGGTCATTTTGACACTGCACCTGGTTCTCCTGGAGCTGGTGATTGCGGTTCATGTGTCGGTAAGTATTTTGGAGCACAACTCTATGTTTCTTATTTGTGATTTACTTTTTAAGTGGATTTGAGCGCAATATGTCTTCCTTTAACTCAATCAATGAAACAGCTTCTATGCTTGAACTTGCTCGGCTGTGTGTTGATTCTGCGTGGGTGCCTCATCGTCCTGTTATATTTCTCTTTAATGGAGCCGAAGAACTGTTTCTGCTGGTAAGTGAATTAGTGCAAGTGTCAAACTTGCCCGAGACTGATAGTTTAAACATATCCTGCGAATAGAACAAACAACTAGATGAAAAAGTTTGCAATACACTCTATCAGAACCTCTGAATGTGCTGGAACATGTAAACATGCAACTTACATTTGAAGCTATCTTGCCACACTGTTTGGCAAATTGGCTGAAATAACTCTACCCCTTTTTTGTATTTTTCCAGGGCTCACACGGTTTCATGAGCACACATAGATGGCGAGACACTCTGGGAGCTGTCATTGATGTTGAAGCTGGTGGTACAGGAGGAACTGGTGGGTAACCTCATCTATATGCACTCAGCTGAAACTGTTATTTTTGAAGTTTCATTTTATGAAATTCTCACTTTAGTATTTGTGCCTCTCATGGCAAGAAATTTATTCTGGTGATGAATGCCATTGATTTCTACAAATCTAAACTTGCACTTGCAATTTTTAATCGACAGATTTGGTATGTCAATCTGGCCCAGGATCTTGGCCATCTTATATCTATGCTCAATCGGCTTTACATCCTATGGCAAATAGCGCGGCACAGGTTCACACTTCTATTAGGAAGTTTCCTTCAGTTTCTTTGCCCTTCGCCTGATCAAAAATACCTTCTTTTGACTCTATTAATTGAAAATCTTGAATATCTTTCAGACTGATCTGACATTTACCTCAAGTGATCTTGAATTGATGAAGTTTGAAATGTATACCTGTTCATAGTGTAAATTGTGATAAACTTCTTAGTTTCGCCTGTTGATATTGTTGTTACTTGTGAATATGTTAACTTGCTTTTTACAATTACAATTTCAGGATTTTTTTGGTGCTATTCCTGGTGATACAGATTACAGAATCTTTTCCCAAGACTATGGGGATATTCCTGGACTCGACATCATCTTTCTCCTAGGGGGCTACTTCTATCACACCGCCTCTGATAAAGTGGAAAGACTTCTGTATGATTCAAAATTTGGTTGTTGAGTTGTTCATTTAATTATTGGTTGCGTGCTTACATATTTGCTTGGTCAAGCAGACCTGGAAGCTTGCAAGCACGTGGAGATAATTTATTTAGTCTAATTAAAGCCTTCACAAACTCCTCTATGCTAAAAAATGCATATGAAAGAGAATCTCTCAGAGAAATAGGGACTCAATATCATGATGAAAAGGCAGTTTTCTTTGACTTCTTCTCGTGGTTCTTGGTGCGTTTATACTTCTCTGAATCCGTACTTCGTTCTGTTCTATCTTCTGAATTAGATCATGTTTTAAATATCTTTCAAGGTCATACATAACCAATTCGGCTTTTATCCTTATCATTTTACTTCTAACAAAGCCGGTAGTTGACTAAGTATCCATTCTTGATCCAAATTAATTAATTTCTGATTCTCTCAGGTATTTTATCCAAGGCATCTAGCTGTGATACTTCATAGTATTCCTCTTGCAATCTACTTTCTCATGCCAATACTTTTGCGGCTTCCAAATAGAGTGTTATCCTCTTCCTTTTTGACTTTCTGTGACTTCATTAAAGGCAAGGCAAATTCTGTTGAAATTTGATGTAATCTTGTGGAGGAAACATAGATATCCATCGGTAAATGTTCACTTTGTTGCCTTATGCAGGAATGCTATTTCATGCTTTAGGGATTGTATCAGCTATCATTTTCCCAGTTATCTTTGCTATCTTGAGACTTCTGTTTTCAGGGACTGCAATGAACTGGTATGGGACTCATTATTATCTGTGACCAGAGTATAGGTCATTGACTTCACTATTCTTTTTTGCGTTAGAATACAGAATGTTGAGATGAGGTTCATTTCTTGATGTAGGTTTTCAAATCCGTTCTTGGCTTTTATGATGTTTATACCATGTTCAGTTGCTGGTCTACTAATACCTAGATTTTTTTGGAGAGAATTTCCCCTTTCACAAAATGCTTCACGGGTGAAAACTTCAAAAGAGGTAGATATCTGTTTTTTCCCTCTTTTCCATGGGTATTCGGAGAGCATCTTTTTGATTGATCTATAAAGGTAATTAAGGTGTGAATTTCCGTTCATTGCCTGTATAGATCAATAAAGAGGGTGTGAAGTTCCTTACATGGACTTTCCAGAAGCTATCCAATTTGGATCTTCAACATTTGTTACTGAATTTGGACTTGATGTCTTGTAGGAATTGGCGGGTGAAGCAAGATTTTGGGGAGCATTTGGTTTATACTCTTTCATGACATTGGTGGGTGATACTTTTTAACTGCCATTGTGCACGATCTACATTCCAATCACTTCTTGAGTTGTTAATTGACTTTAATACAGTTAAAATTATGCATGACAAGCCTTACCCTAAAGTATCATAAAAGAAAGAAACTTTTTGATAGTCAATGAAGATGTTCTGGAGACTTCATAAATAAATTGGCCTTCTCAAAACAGGGATATCTTACAGCTGGGTTGAATGGAGGTTTCGTGACCTTTTTGTTGGCAGTTTTCATGCTTCCAGCATGGATGTCTTTTTGTCTCTCAGCCAAGTCATTTGGCCATGAGTCTCTCAGGTATTTTTATTTGGATCATTATATAGATTTTTGTTCCATTTTTTCTTTCAGGCACAATACATGTGAGTGTGAATATATTTGCTTCACAAGTGTTCTTCAAAGAGCTCAATCAGTTGTAAAATGCAGATGATAGAACGCTATTAATTAGATTATATATGGATAAATCCTCAGCCTTAATATTTTGCTCTATTGAAAAATGGTCATTGATCTAACTCAGATCTCTTCTTTCAGGTCACTTGCATGTTATGTGATCCCTCTACTTCCTTGTTTAATGTATTCTGTCTATTTTGGTGGGTTCCTGGTGGCCTTTTTGATAGAGAAACTGGGGATGACAGGGTCGCTTCCACCTCCTTATGGTTAGCATCGACATCTTATTAAAGCCAGTTTACTTTTAGTGGGATGCATTTGAAGATAGTTGTGCTGCTGGAATATTTTGGTGAATTATGTGTAGGACTATTTGTAGGAAAACTGCTCTTCAAGATTTTTTCCAAAAGATGTTAACTATTTGAAGTTACTCTATATACTTTTTCAGGTTACTTTATCCCAGATGTTGTAGTTGCTGCCGTAATTGGAGTTGTAACTGGTTGGTGTGTTGGACCCCTTTTACCTATTATCGGAAATTGGCTAACCCGGCCTTCTATCATGCAGTTCTTGCTGCATGGAACTATTATTGCATTAGCTCTATCTTCACAATTTTTCCCTTACAGCACTGGTGCACCGAAAAGAGTGATTTTGCAGTATACCATAAGAACTAAAGGTATGAAGGGTGGATTACGAAAGTTAAGTGAATAAAATTCTAATCATCAGGATGATATTTCATATTGCACATATAGGAATGGATTTATCTACTTTGTCTTCTTAATTTCTGGATACCATTTCCTCCTGACATTCGTTAAAGAATTTCTAGTGATTTTCGTGTTTGTTTAACGATAATAGAATATGGGTGAATATTCTAAGACTAAGCACTTTCCTTTTCTGTTGCAGGTGATAGTCACGTTGAGGAAGCCAGTTATGATTTCTCTGTAGTTGATTCAAATTCTCTTCTTTTTGTCTTTAAACACGCTCCAGAAGTGGCAAGAGAACTGCATTTGGGTTCAGACTTGTCATTTGATTCGGTTAAACCATCAGCTAAAGAGACTTGGATGGTAATGTTCTTATGAGGTCTTTTTATTTGGCGTGCTTCATGTGTCATATTTTCTCGATTCTGGTTTTGTATTTTTTTAATGTAATAATGTGGCCATTCATACTTGCACGATGAGCCTGGCTCCATTTTGGTCCTTTTGTGTGCATTACAACATGTGCCGTTTTATCCCGTAATACCATCTTCGATTGTGGTTATGTGGGCATATCATTGATTCAAGTAGCTTGTCAATTTTTGTCGCTTTTACAGGGAATTTTCCCAATATCTTTCTTGTTCTCTGGAAGCATGAAATTCTCAGCAGAAAAGGATGAGGTCTTCAAGCAATACAGCCTTTTCCCAGCTCTAAGACCTCATAAGCCGCAAGATTTTTTTGAGGACGGTTCGCGCAGAATCTACTTGGAATTTTCTCTTGGGTAAATCCATCAGTTGGCTGAGACTTTTTTCTTCTACTGTCTCCTGCTCTATTTGTTACCATAATCATCATTATATACCAATTACAATGACAAATATCCATGCATTCTCTTGAATGTCCGAGTTGGAGGAAGTGTTAGAATGTTAAGCAGAAATTAGTTGTCCCAGTTAATCTGTCATATTTTGTCAACCCACACTTCAGGCTATGCCCAACTAGTCTTGTGTGATAGTTTTCCTTCCAATTTGTGAAGCTGAATTTCTTGGGTAAAGCTTATTGAATTGCATCATTCTGATTTGAAAATGCTTTTCCATGCCTGTTCAAGCTTTGGAAATGACTACTCTTCTTTAAACCCGTTTTTCCCCTTGGGGAAGGGGAGGGGAGGAGGGAGGGATTAACATGTAGATTTGTTGTTGCCGTTTAATCACTTATCTGTCTTTACTTTTCAGGTCTTTACAGGAAGTTTGGGTTTCTGTGCTAAACATTACTGGTCCGTTATCCAGTTGGTCGTTTTCTAATGGGGCACTCCCAGGTGATTTGTTACTCTTTGGTTTAGTTGAGTACTTACATTCTCCATGATTCTGTGTTGTGATCCTTTCTGCTGTTGTTTACAGCTGCGGAATCAATTGCTCATGGACCACCTTCATATATTTGTAGATTGAGTGGAGCGAGCCATGAGAATTGGAGCTTTTGGTTGGAGGTAAAATTCATCAACTATTCTCTCCGTCAAAAATTGTGTGACAGTTGGATGGAGAATAAGAATGTTTAGAGCATAGGTCTGGGCTAATCTTTATTATTATCGTCAATCCAGGCAAGAAATTCAGAACCCTTGAGGGTGGAAGTTGCTGTGGTGGACTTGCGTTTAACTCAGTCTGCAACCAAATTGAAAGGCCTTTTCCCCAATTGGATGGATGTCACTGCTTTCTCAAGCTTTAGCTCTAGCTATGTTCTGTAATCGGGTAACACGTTTGCTGGATACTATACCATAGAATACATCCCTTTAGCTTGTGCGAATGCGGAAGCTGGCAGACGTAGCAGATGGCGCAGTCATGTCAATCTGGTTTCATTTCAACAGATTGATGTTTTCACGCGTAAAACAGATACTCAGTTGATCCCATTCTTTGATGCAACCAGTTTTACTATTCCTCTAGTTGGTTCATGGAATCAAATGGTGCTAACTTATTGAAGAGGCTCATAGTGTCATTCATCAGTCAGATACCTGGTAGAGATTGTACTGGAATATACTGCACAAAATCAGAATGTAGAAAGCAATTCATGATTTAAGCATACAGGATGAGAAAAGTTAGAAGGAAGAAGAACATAATGAGAAAATTGTTGCTCATTCTTTCGCATTTTTTAAAAAGTTCTTTTAAACTAGTTTCTCTTGAGGTGCTTCTCTTCAAACTTCAAGGCCATATTATCCAGCTGCCATTTATTCTATTATCCGTCGTATAGAAATAGTCCATAATTATAATATTTTTAGAACTATTTACGCTTTATGATCTGAAATATTTTTGTGGGACAAAGGAGAGATTATTTTTTCTGATTAAAACTGGAACTTATTTATATTATTACCATTCTTTATTATCATCATAACTTCAATACATGTTTTAACAAAAAAAAAAAAACTTCAATACATGAATGAAGTAATTTGCCAGGGTGTCAATTGACTGAAAACTTAGGAGCGAGGGTGCAAAAATAATTTTATATGCAAAAGGTGTCTAACGGTTGATAATGCTTGGCTTTTGTCATAATCAGATACAAGCAAAATATGTACGGTGGACATTAGACTTTTCACTAATCATAATTTCCTTTCCTCATTCCCTCTCCATAGTAACTGCAACTTCTAATTATTACCAAGGAAGCCGAAAATGTTTATAAAAAGAAAAATACATATATAAGCCGAAAATAAAGAGGGAAAAAGGGGGAAAAAAACAGAAGAAAAAGCCAGCGTCTTTCCTCAGCTGGTGGAGCCCGAAGTTCACCTTGATCACTTGTGAGCATCTATTGATTTGCTTATGTTCTTCAATTTTGTGGGGATTTACTCTTGCATAACTTGTTTCGGTAAATGTATTTATTGCGTACGTTTTGTTGTTGAATAGATCTTGCTTGGAGCTCGAATCCGGTTGTTCTTTGGAGAAAGCACATTAATTAATTGTAAAGGAAGAATCTCGTAATGGTATGCTAAATTTTCGGTACTGTATTTTGATCAGTGATTTTATTCAATTTATTTCCTGTGTTTATAGTTTTTAATGAAACTCTTTGTGTGAATTTTGTTTTTTCAGTCTGCGCTGTTCAATTTCCACTCATTCCTTACGGTAGTGCTGTTAGGGATTTGTACTTGCACCTATGTAAAGATGCACTTTCCTGCGCTTCTTGAACAAAGGACTGGGTAAAGTTCTTTCATCCTCAAGATATGTTGGTGATTTCAATTTGATTTACTGGTTTTCCGTATTTGGCATTATCATACTTTTAAAATTTGTTCTATTGTTTTGCGTCTAAACATGTCAAACGGGTTCCTTTATTGAGGCAAAATGCGGAAAAATTGAATCTTTTTGCGTAAATTGCACATGACTTTGTTTATTATACAAATTACTCCGTGTTTGTTGGCCGAGGTGGAAATGTCATCATTCATACATATATGTTGGGGCTGCTTAATAATATGTGATTGGAGTCATTCTATTGTGCCTGCTAATACACAATTTGGGTGTTTGGGAATCATGACTCAAGATGTTTAGATGACCTAAAAGGATTAAGAACGAAACCTTCAAATAGGTACATTGTACTTTGAAATCTAAACAAGAATATTTGCTTTGTTTGAAAGTGATGACAAGATATGATTCATTCAGCTGCCATGCTATAATAAGTTGTAGGCTCAGCTGTTGCTACTGTTGATCTAGATTGATTTGTTTTATTCAACCACGTGCATCCATATGGCCTGAAACTTATTATGCGGTAATCACTTGTCTGGAGTTTAGGATTAATTAATCTTTCGTTTTCTTTTTGGTCAAAAAACAATAGTCATTGTTAAGTAATTACTTATCGTGAGATTGTTTTACTGAGGACTGAGCTTCCGTGATATTGATTTATATTGCGATCTTATATTGTTTCCCTTCACTAATGTATCATATATTTATGGTTCATGCATTTCAGGTTTCGAGGTTTCTTTTGGAAGGCAGCTAGAATCGGTGAGTAACCATGCAGTGGTGGTATTGCTGTTCTAGGGTTATTTGACAATTTTAACGTTCATGTTTCTGGAATTAGACCTGCATTAGAAATTCATATACAGTGTTTATTCTGAATGATTTAGAAATCCATAATAAAATAAATCAGCTAGTTGGCAATTTGACTTGGGGCAATGAAGTTGGAAAATTTCTACGATTATTTTGTGGTCCCTCGCTGGTGAAAGTTCTGGATTTTGCTACCAAATGATTCTTCTGTCATGCTGATCATTTCAAACCTCATACGAAATTCTAGACCTTTTTGCAATGCTTCTTTGTCCCAATATTTTTTTGGTTTGTTTTCTCATAATCATGTTACTGGAATTCCAAATAAAGCTAGTCACCTGGGTGTGGAAAATTCATTACAGGAAATGCTAATGTAAGTTAGAAATAAAATTGGTGATGACTACTTAGTTTGGTTTGAACATTAGGTAGATTGCTGATTCATACCACCCTAACATTGCTATCATCTTGGTCCTGCAAATGGAGATGACTTGTTTCTGAAGGATGAAAATGAAGTGCTTTGTGTGCATGTACTGGATCATGAATTGCTCGCTTTCCATTCTTTCCACTCTCTTGAGTCAGAGTTTTCTTTGTGCTCTTCTAGTTTTCTTAAAGTTCTTGTGCTACGACACGTAAGGATCCGAGAAGCTATCATTTACAATGTGTGATTTTTATTTGCAGGCGAGCGATTGAGCCCTTGGGTCGGGATAGGATGCTTCGCAATGGGCGTGTCTATAATTTTCTTTTGAGAGGGAGGTTTAAATAGATGATGTTAGTCTTTTGTACTAAAAAATTTATCCTTACGCAAGAGGAAAGTCATTGGTTTCTTTATTGTTTTCTTTTCTTTTTTTTTTTTAAAAAAAAAACTGTTCAGAGAATCACAGTAGATAAGTAGTAAGTCTGCTCACAACTTCTATTCGAAATGACTTCGTGTCCTAACATAGAGACAAACGCAATAGCATAACAACCCTTTTCATGCGTTTCCAAGAAAAGGGAGAATAACTCTTGTTTTGTGATTTGGATGGGCGATTCTATAACAAAACAAGAGCCTTTGATACGAATCTACTGCCATTTTTGTTTATGTATCGGGCTATCTGTGCAATTTTATTTTATTTTTTCTTTTTCCCCCGATGGTGTCTTTTTTTGGTTATTATACTTATACTCGACAAAAAGTATTTTTGGAAAAGAAAAAAAAAACAAAACAAAAGTAACAGCAAAACAGAAGTGTAATCTTGTGACATCAATACTCGGCTGTTTTTTAAGGCCATAGTAGATATCTATAGCCATAATCTGTTAATGCAGGCCCAAGATATTCACAATGCAGGCCCAATCGAATTCGGTACCCCGTGTCTTCTTCTTTAGTTCTTCCTCATTAATCTCAGGCGACGGATGCAGAGCACTAAACCTCTCACCAGTAACCATACGCACTAAACCTCCACCGGAAAATGGCCGGACGACGAAATTCAACTCGAAGCAGAATCAAACCTAACGAAAATGACGTGGATTCTGGCGATGATCGATCGGTCGGAAATGCAAGGCCGAAAGGTAGACGCCGCAGTCAAACCGGCGTAGACCAAAGCCTCATCTCCATCATGAATGTGAACATCAAAACTTTGTTAGGGCTTGGAATTCTCGCCTCATTTGTTGCTGTGTTTATCATTTTCCAATTGGTTAACACTGCTGAAGAGCCTGAAAAGAAGCCCCGAGTAGTCACGCCATTTCCTGCTCCAAAGCTCATGGATCTTCCCATGGTAACACAAACTATACTTTTACCTAGGCCTGATGGTTTTACCGTGTTACGAGTTTCAACCATTTATTTCTGTTGAGTTCTTGGTGCTCCTGCTGCAGTTTCAGGGGGATCATAGAGAGAGCTTGTATTGGGGAACTTACAGACCGACTATGTACTTTGGGATTCGTGCCAGGTATGGAATCTTCCCCACGTTCTGTGTATTCCAAGTACCTGTAAATACATGAATCATGCACACTATGGACAATGATAACGGGTATGAAAATTTCATAATACTTAGTGAATTTTGTGTAATGGGATCCCCTGCGTTTTCCGCATCAGTTACTTGGACCAAGTTTTTCACTATGAAATAAACTTCTTATTGATGTGTGGTACAAAAGAAAAGGCAAACATGAAACATCCCAACCTTTTGAATATACCTTGACCGCGGTTCAGGATGCCTTTATTTCACCCTTGCTGCATTTTAGAACTTTAGACATTTATGTAGTAAATTGCAAAAAAGTAGGGGTAATGATTTCCCAAGCTATTGTTTAGAGTTTACTTCAGAGCAGCTCTTTGGGGGCAAATTATGGGTTCACTATGTCATTTGTTGTGTTTAATGAGACTTTCATCTCTGACTTGGTACTGATATGACCACCTGATGATTGGTGTAACTGGTAGGACACCACTCTCTTTAGTGGCTGGCTTGATGTGGATTGGTGTTACCAATGGAAGATATTCAATGAGACATGTCTGCCAAAATTCTGATGAGCTAAAGAAGTATGGGTGGACAGAACATAATGGACGGGACTATGGGCGACAGATTTTGGTCGACCATGAAATGACCTTGACAACAAATTTCCTCAAATCTAAGGAACGGGGGAGCAGCTATGGGGGAGACTGGGCTGTCCGGATTGGTGTGGAAGACGAGAAGTAAGCCTACTGAACCCTTGTGTGCATCACACTCGAATATTCTCGGCTAATTATTGCAATCAGAAAATATTAGGAACATTTGTTGCTTTTTCAGTGAAGATAATAGGGTAATATTGGAGACTTGTTTGTGAGAGTCAAAACTCGACTGCTTGTTGTTTTCTCAGTGAAGATAATAGGGTAATATCGGAGACTTGTATGTGAGAGTCAATACTCCTGGTATTTTGTGTAGAGCTATCCCCTATTATATAGGAATTCATACAGATCTGGAATAGATGTCTTGTTAAAGAAGGTTACATTGGTCTAGTGGTTTTATTTATTTGATCATGTCATTGACAGCTCTGAACTTGACAAGGAAACTTCAAAAGCCGTTCATCTGTTCTTTTATATGGCCGATGAAACTGGTAATGCTCTAAACTTGGGTGGAGCTGTTGACGTCGATGATGATTCCGTCCTGGTGTCGGGCTATAGAAGTGATGTCGGGAATTGGCAGCTACATCTAAAATCTGAGGTATTTGACAGAGGATTCAAATTCTTAACTGATTATAGGATATAGGTTTGCACCACTCTTTAAGTTGCAGTAGGATGCCACTTTGACTGCTGGAAAAACTGCTACAAGCTTCATACTTTTGGGGGATGACAACACTGAATAAGCCATTATTGGTTTTACAGAATGCCTCTCCAGTCTCCAGTTGCATCTGATATTTCTCCTCAATAAGAATTTACTTTCTTTATACCTTGGGCAGGATGAATATGAATTTCACCATGCAGGGTTCAGGACGCCATTTGTTCATAATTTATCTGATCTTGTCCAAGCAGATCTTGGAACCCAGGTACATATTAAGCTTATGTTTGCTCTCTTATTTGGTATGAATGGTATGCTTTCAACTTTTTCTTGGTCATTTCTGGATCCGGGGTGTCTGTATTACTTGTTTTGTCGAGAGTACTTCCGCGTGTGTACCTCCTTTTTTATATTTTGTTCTTATGTTGTTTCAGGCAAGAAAGACTGGTCGCTTGCAGCTGTCAGATACATCAACTGATTCATCAAACATTTTTGTCTTTCAGGTGCGCTTATGATCACTTTTTAGATACTTCTTCTTCAAATCAATAACTAAAAATGCTATCTCACTCCTTTTATTTCTGCTTATGTGGTTTTATTTTAACAATCCCAGTTTATTGATGTAGCTTACAGCTAGGATTCCTTTTAAGGCTGAGTTTATCTTCCTGTCTGGAACTCTTGCTCAAAAAGAGCGTGCCATGAGCCTTTCAGGTGATCTTCTATTTTAACGTTTTTTAACCTTTGATCACCATAGTAGTTTTCTAAGATAAATAGACTGTGTTTGGATTTTTAATTTCTGAAGATCTATACTAATTAGTTACAAGTGTGTTTTTAAATGAATAGATAGCATAAATTTATATGAAGTAGAAGTATCCAATATTGTTGGATTGTCCGAAAGCGTGCTAGTGTATAATGATCGCCTTTGTTTCCTTTCCTTGTTTGTGAATGCATGAACTTCGGTTCTCCCAGTGAAGGTTTTCTTCATGTGTTGAATCTGACAGTTAATATTTAGCACTTGAAAGCTTTCATTGTTGCCCCATGTTGATAACTGGAAGGCCTGCTGACTTTTGTAGGCACCTCACTGACTAATAGATTGACTGAGAAGCAAAAAGACTATGCTGATAAATTTCAAAGGTCCTTTGATCTGCCTGATGAGGTAAGAATCCTTTACGTTGTTAAATTTTCTCTCTTTTAAATTCAGAGGAACAATTTATTTGACTCCAAGTTTGGGCATTCAAGCTTTAAGGTGCCTAATATAGTAGCTTCTTATCTCCTAAATCTATCTAGAGGGAATCCAGTAACAATATTTATTTTTGTATTTTTCTTCTTGGTTTATCTTCTTTCGGAAGGGTTGAAGTGTGGCTGAAAAATTTTATTTGGTCTTCTAGCTTGATTCTGAATCTGTGACAGTGGGAAAGGCTGCGCTCGGGAACTTGCTGGGAGGAATTGGCTACTTCTATGGACAGTCAAAAATTTCACTTCCAAACCACTATGGTGTAAGTTGATTCACATTTTGGTTTCTATATTACTGTTATCCAGATTACTGACACAACGGAGCCAGTTCCATTCATGACTCAACCCACTGCTTTCCCATACATCTTCCTTTAGCTGTGTGCTTTTCTAATTTCCTTGGCTTTGCATGTTTCCTTGAAATTCTAGTTTATATAATTTTTGTCTTACCTAATTTACTTTCGAACTTATCTGCAGAAAGATGGTGATAAATTTATTTCATATTGGCCAGCGGAGCTCTATACTGCAGTTCCTAGTCGTCCTTTTTTCCCCAGGGGATTTTTGTGGGATGAAGGTTTCCATCAATTGATAATATGGTAAGCTCCACGTTGCAACTTTACTGTCTCTTTGGGAAGAAGTTGGCTGAATTCTGCATTCATTTTAAAGATCGTCAGGTATTTGTTTCAACGTTAAAATTCTTGTGCTTTATTGTTAGGCGGTGGGATATCCGTATTTGCTTGGACATCTTGGGACACTGGCTAGACTTAATGAATATTGATGGATGGATTCCACGTGAACAGATTCTAGGTGCTGAAGCTTTAAGGTGATTAAATCTTGTCTTCAATTGTATATGTCTATGAGTTCAAATGCTACACTAACCTCTGTCTGATTATAAACAACTTCTTTGTATTTGTAGTAAAGTTCCCGAGGAATTCGTTCTTCAGCATCCAACAAATGGAAATCCTCCGACGCTATTTCTAGTTTTACGTGGTAAAAATATCTGTCAGTTTGTTTTCTGTTTTATATCTTTCTTTGAGAACGGAACTCCATTGGATTTGATGCTATTGACAATCATCATTTCTTGGTCTGCTTGTATTTTTTTTAATCTAACCTAAAGATATTTGTATTGCATTGTTATATTAGTTGCAGATTCTGTCTTGTCTGTTTTCTGGAAGAATAATTTTGCAATAAATTTGGGTGAAAAGGAGTAACTGATGTAGACCTTTTACTAAGTTCTCCCCATGCTCTTACGCAAGCTTTTGTGGAAGTAAAACATAAAGTGAATTCTGTAATCATATAATTTCATTCACTTCTAGGCAGCATTTACGAGGAATGAATAATATACATTGTTTGGGTTATTGATTTTTCTGGTAATTTGTGCTGGGCCCACTCCCTTATGAAAACTTTGATAATCGAATTTGAGCTTTTACCGAGTTTTGCATATGCATGGTCTTTTTATTCTAATGGATAATAAATTTTACTGACGAGTCTCTGCTTTGTCCAGAACTAATTTGCAGCATGAAGACCAACAAATTTACTGCTGCTGAGAGTGACGAGATCCTTCTGTTCTTGGATCGAGCATTTGTCCGCCTTGAAGCCTGGTTTAAATGGTTCAACACAACACAATCAGGTGAATAGATATTTTTGTCTCTTAAGGTTAACTCATCCCTGGCGCGTCTTTTGCTGCTAAGTCAATGAGAGAACCTGGAAGGCTTTAAATATTAGACCTCATCTGCTTAGTAGTTCACCTCAATCTTTGTTTTGGATTGTATTGTGAGATTCTTTGAACAGGAAGTTTTAATCCCATTTGGCTTGATTTGTAAAGTAGCTACTCAATTCTTGACTCAGTTTTAATTGTTTTGTGTAGAAGCCTTTTATTAACAGTGTAACGTGCTTAATTGTCAGGAAAAGCTGTGAGCAGTTACTTTTGGCATGGAAGAGACAATACCACAGCTCGTGAGCTAAATCCTAAGGTTTGTCTATCTATAGTGAACAAGATTGGTTGATTTTTTGAATTTTTTATTTTTATTGTTTTGTTTTGTCTTTGCAATTCTAAAAAGTGAGAAAAAGTTTGAAACCAGTTTCACTAGGTGTAACATATCCTTGTTTGCATTTTCCAGAGCCTGTCTTCTGGTTTGGATGATTATCCCCGTGCATCTCACCCAAGCGAAGATGAGCGCCACTTGGATCTTAGATGCTGGATGCATCTTGCAGCAGATTGTCTGCACTCAATTATACAACTTCTTGGTAAGGAAGACGAACATGGAAAGGTAAATATGTCAATATAGAATAATCACAACCTCCACTGCTTTTATTTATATATTTTCAATCTATGATGTAATGTGCTATAAGCTTTATGATGGATTGTTGTAGGAGTACATGTCTACAGCATCTCTGCTTTCAGATTTTGAACTTTTAAATCAGGTTTGCTCTAAGTTGCCTTAAAATCCCGTTTGCATATCTAATTTCATCTGAAATAAGCCTTGATAACTATGTGATTGTTTCTGTTTCAATTTATTCTCAGATGCACTTTGATGCTGACTATGGAGCTTATTTTGATTTTGGGAATCATACTGAGAAGGTATATACTATGTATACTTAATTTCTATTGTGATGTGAGTTTATGTATTGACTTTAGCTATCTGTGATTTTGTCTCTCAATAGTGTAGAACCCTGAGCATTTGTTTTTGGAACTTGTAATTTCTTTCTTCTCTCTTTTTTTTCTTTTGGTATGTGTTTGTGTAGAACATACAAACTCATGGTTACAATTATCCCATACATCCCCCAACTTGGAATCCTAAGGGCTTCCCAGAAGTTTCTAATTATTAGAAACTTCTCGAATTGGTCACTTACCATCCTCACGGAGTCATTCATGCAGTCTTTGACGACTTGTATATTCTTTTTAGACAGATTATGAATGCTTTGCGCATTAGAGTACTAGGTACATTATCCTAACTATAGTCCCTTCTGTTCCAGGTTCGATTAAATTGGCAGATAGTGGAGGGAGTGAACAATCATCCACCAAGCCAAAAGCTCTCAAGAGAAGTTCTAGAGAAGCCTGTATTGAGGCTGGTTCCTCATTTTGGCTATGTTAGCCTTTTCCCATTGATGGGTAGACTAATCCCCCCTGTAAGTTGAAGGTTTCCCATTTTTAGGCAAAATTTGTTCTCTGCCCTCTTGAGGCACCACCTTTTATGTCCTTGCTCATCAGTTTTGTTTCCACAACCCATGTTAATAGGGATCGTCAATATTGGAAAAGCAGCTTGACCTCATTTCGAACCGAAGTACTTTGTGGACAAACTTTGGACTGAGGTCTCTTTCAAAAACAAGGTAAGAAACACTACCTCCCAAAATCAGCCTTATTGCATTTGCTTGCTTATTCATGGACCTCACTAAGTCCGGCTATTGTTCCACTTGAATTAAGTGGTCGTATTTTAAGGAAGCAAGCATTAGTAATAACAACACAATATCTTCCTGAACAGCTCAATTTACATGAAACGCAACACTGAGCATGATCCACCATATTGGAGAGGACCTATTTGGATGAACATGAATTATATGATACTCTCAGCACTTCATCATTATTCAAGAGGTACACCCTTGAAACAAAAATTAAAAATTATCCTTAACCTTTTTAAATTTCCAGTGGATGTTGATTCATTGATTTATCATTCCAGAGGATGGACCGTACAGAGAACGAGCCGAAACAATATACAAGGATTTGAGACACAATTTGGTCAGGTACACAATGCTCAATCCTCCTGACAAATGAGATAGTGTATTTGGTGTTTGGACCAGATATTATCCAACCTGGGGGACCAGTTGCCTGGCTTGAGGCACTCTTTTTTATTAAACTTTGATTAACATGATCCCTCGGTTTATGCAGGAATGTTGTTAATAATTATCAAAAAACTGGCTACTTTTGGGAGCAGTTTGATCAGCAAAAGGGAAAGGGAAAAGGCGCTCATCTCTTCACTGGTTGGACATCTTTGGTCGTTTTGATCATGGCAGAAAAGTATCATGAATGCTGAAGTCTTGAAGATACTGAGATTGAAACTTCTGCACCAGGAAATATTTATGTCAAGATAGTAAGGAGAAGAATGGGCCCCCAAGTTAACCTAATCCCATCCGAGACACACATCAATCATATAATACTTACAGGTGTAGTCTAGATAGGTCGAGTATTCAGTTGATTTAACTTCATAGCAGTTTTGAAAATAGGAAGAAAATTTTTCTTTGGTTCCTGATGCCTCTTCAGGGCGATGGGCACAGATTAAGTAAAATTATTTTGAGCTTCGTTGTGGCCAGATAATTTTTTCATGAAAATAGGAAGACATCTTTCCTTGGCCCCTGATTGGGCGAACGCAAGCCAAGTAAAATTATATTGAGCTGTACTGCTGTCGGATGATTTTAGCATGAGAAGACAAAATTATACTGGGATGAAACTGGGGACTAATACAACTTGCCTCTACAGCATATATAGATTGACAGTCAAGTGAATGACTACTCCTCAACTATCTATGAACCACTAAGGAAAGGCCTTTCTTTTAGCTCAACAAACTAGATGGGAAAGAAAATACCACTATCAAACAAGTCTAAACAAGAATGTCAATCCTCCGACATTTCTATATCCTCAGCCAAGATGATCTCCAAATCCCGAATATCTTTCTTCAAAACATTTCCAAGCCTAGCAATGGCCTCAGTTTGCTGTTGTAACACCTGACAGGCCACCATAAAATAAACAGATATTAACCAACTGAGGAAATCACCTGTGCTGCAATTCAACATCAAAATGCAGGAGCCGGAAGTGTAATTTTTCTAACTGCCCTTAAAGAGGGTCATAATCACTGTGCTTGCTATCTTGTACTCCCTCCGGTATTTAATTGTAAGGCACAAATGTGAACTATTTTTAGCATTAATTTGTGTCTCACAATTAGGCCAGATGGAGTAACTATAAAATATATAACCTAGGGCAAAAACTACAGAAATCTGGTCCAAAAGTAATTCAAAATATTAACTCCCTCCGTCCTGAGATGATTGTCCAGTTTGGATTTTCATTATTAGTTCAACTGTACTAGAAGTGAAACTCCAAACAGAAAATCATTTGGGACAGAGGGACTATTAATTTTAAGATGTCATCCATGGATTACAGTACCACAGAATGTTTGTTTAACAGTAACTCGTATTACTACTAGTACAATGTTTAACACATTCTGAATTACAGTACCTCATGCATGTCTGTGAGGCTCTGCTCATGTATTTTAGTTGATCCTGGTACATATAAAGAACCACCACCGAGGCCATTGCTTTGTACACGGGCCAAAGTCAGCAGATTCTGGACCCTGCGGGCAAGATCTGCCCCGGATCCTTTTAACTGCCAGGTTATATACTTGTCAACTAAAAATTCTCAATCAGAAAAAGACAAGCATCACTAAAGTTTAAGCATATTGAACAGCATGGTCAAACCTGTCGAGTTATTGAAGCTAATTTCTCTGCCAGTTCAGCTTCACCTTTCATCAAAGGCAACCGGCAACCTTTGCCTTCCAATGCCTCAATGATTCTCATCACCTGCCCACCATGTTAGACAGATCCCTTAATATGCTTTCAAACTCAAGGCAGGAACACTTATCAGCATAACTAAACTTTTCACTTCTTAAAAATTTGCAAAAGTTACAGCTCAAGTGCTATACATAAGGGTAATAATGATAGGCAAGAAACAAGAAGTGCAGATTACTGGGCCAAATTTGTCTCTCTAACCAGATAGATTAACTGTTGTAAATAGAACTGCAAATGAGAAGGTAACCATATACTATACCTAGTTTCAACCATGATAGAAGGAAAATAAAGTGTACAATCCACATACCCTCAGGAGGCGTCTTTGAAGAATCTGCTCCTTCTGCCTCATCCTTTGAATTCGAGGGAAAGTATCAGCTTGAAGATGCCTTTGAAGCTGCAGATACGTAGTAACATTACTAGGCCAAACAGAACTGCCATATTCAAAATTATTAGGCCAAAGGAAGTACCATTTTAACATTGCTCTGTGTGGTCTTTAATCTCTCAGAATCAGAGACTATGACTTCATCTTGCAACTGTTTGGAACCAAAAGTTAAGCACTCATCCCAAGAGATCAATAGGTTATGAAGATCAACCAAAGAAACAACAGAAAAGCACCTTAACTATTATGAGAAACTCATGAAAACAAATGGAAAAGAGCCGACTGCTGAGAACGTCAACCCAATAATTTTGATAAAAGTGCATATAATTCTCAAACAACATGAAAGTTAGATTTGACACAACTCCTAGTATGTTATAGATATACATGGCTACATGCTTTAGGCTCATGTAGATTGAAATTAAAGATTTCAGCTAATTAAACTGACCACGCAAGTTTGAAAGTAGCAGAAGATAGCTGGACATGGAAAAGTAATCTCAAACTTGGACGTGGAAGGAAGAATTGACATTCATTTCCTACCTTAAGACGCTGTGACAGATCTTTAAAGCCATGAACAAGCTGCGGCCAAAGGCGCTCACGTTTAGAACTCTCCATACCTTCAAGTTTTCCCATGGCCTCTGCCCACATTATCTGAAAATCAGAATTAATTCACTCAGCTTACTTCTAGGAAAAACAAAATACAAATATCTGAAAGTTTTAACAGCAAAAAGCATATATGCATTGAGCACATTGGACTCACATCTGATACACCGGCTGGCTTCTGCCTAAATTGAGGTTCAATAACACTGAACAGTAGATGCTGCAAAAAAAAAAAAAGCGTCTCATTTCAAGATTCATTGATAGCAAACAACCACAATTTTTCTAAGAACCATTTCCAACATTTCAACTTATTATATAGCCACCAAACTCCAAATTCAGTAAAAATGACGATCAAGAAATTTCAATTTGTTTCGTGAAAAGAAAAAGTAGAATAAAAGGGGGAAAAATTCGAACCTTAAATGCATACTTAGGGTTTCCAGTCTCCTCCTTGTAAGCATCAACAATTGCCTATCACAATTAAGACACCCAAAAAAAACGAGAGAAAAAAATCAAACAGATGAGCGGCAAAAGTACACAGTTTAGGGTTTTGCCATTATAAATGTGGGTCCACATTTTAATTGTTGGAAGAAAGAGACCTACTTGTATATCACGATCAGGGAGAGAGAAAGGGAGAGGAGCGACCGGAGCCATCTGAGTAGTCAGCTGAGCATTGGCAAAAGGCAATGACGGCGTCGTTGCAGCAGGCTGGCCAAACGGAGACGAAATCGGTTGTTGCGGTTGAGCACCGAACGGCGTCGAGAAGCCGAAAGGACTGGAGCTCTGCGCCGCGGCGGGAGTCTGAAACAGATTACTCTGCGGCTGCGACTGTGACTGTTGACCGAACGGAGAGGCAAACGGCGACGATCCAAAGGCGCTAGTGGCAAACGTCGGCGTTGATGGTGTGCCGAAGGCTGGGGTGGAAGACGAAGCACCAAAAGCAGGGGTTGAGCCTGGAGTGCCAAACGCCGGAGTAGAGGGAGTACTGAACAGGCTTGTTGAGGACGGAGTGCCAAACGCCGGGGTAGAGGACGCTCCGCCGAACGCGGGGGTTGAGGTTGGAGTTCCGAACATCTTGTGGTACCGGCGGTTGGTGGAGCTACGGCGGAGATGGGTGGATTTTAAGACGGGGACGGCGGAAACCTAAGCCCGGCCCGGGGGAGGAAGTAAAAGAGAACTTTAAAGGTGTTGCCGCCAATTTTCGACAGCCATTATTTGTTGAAAACAACTATCACAAATACAATATGGATGATTTTAATAAGGAACACCAAATTGTTTTATAGGAGTGTTTCAAAATATGTCTTTAACAGTAAAAAATTTTAGTTTTATAATTAAAAAAAACATATAAAGTAAAATTTATTATAATTTAAATTGTCTTATAATAAAGATCAGAAGAACTAATACATACTAGCGGTATAACCTGTATTGTCAACCCAAAACAAAGGAAAGAAATGAAAACTCAATAATGTTCAACTCTAAAATAATATCAAACGTCCGAAAAATAAAATGAATAATCATTATATCCTGAAATGATACGATAAATGATATTATTACTTTGAGAATAAAAGAATTCGGATCAATTTGAGGAAAAGGTTTGAACTTTGAACAATGTGGTAAGTGGGAAACAAAGTAGACTAAGGCTTTGTTTAATAAACCAATTAAGCACTTAAATTTATTAATTAAATACTTAATTGATTAGCAGTGTTTGATAACACAATATCATAACAACTTAATTGATTAAGAACTTAATTTATTAATGACTTAAATTTTAAGGGTGTTTGATAACTCAAATAGGATGTCTTAATAAATTAAGTGGGTCTGAAATGCTAGTACAAATGTGAGCCTAAAAATAAGTGATAGGCCTATCACTTATATCTGAACTGAATTCTTAAGAAGATTTTGTTCTATTTATTTATTTTTATGTGTATACTTTTGATATTTTATCTTGAAATATTTTTATTAATTATGATGTCTAGTTCTAAATAAAAATTTATGTAAATTATTTTTTATTTGATAAATAATTATTTTTATATAAAAATTAAAATCCATTGAATTCCATGATCAATATATATTTACCGTAAAATATTAAAATATGATATTTTTTGACAATGATGAAATAGGACATTATTATTAACTGGAAAAATAATAACATAATAAAATTTAAATCTTTTTATTACATTATTTTATAATAATATTATTATTTTTATTATCATAGTTTCATATACATCAAGTGTTGTTTTAGATAAAATCATAAGTCGAGATACTTTAAATTTCAGTGTTCAGACTTCAGATTTCAGACATTTTATTCAGTGTTCAGATTTTAGTTTTTATTAAACACGAGAAACTTAATCAGTTCAGTACTTATGATTCAGTCTTCAGATTTCAGACTTCATACCCAAATTAAGTTTTATCAAATGGGACATAAGTAGTGAGTAGTGCAGTTGGAGTGTGTTACATAAATTATACAATAACGGAGGGAAAATAATTTTTAAAAAAAAGGTATGGAATTTTTTGATACCAATGTTTGAACTTTCAAAAGGTTATGGTTGTAATTACCAATTTTATTTTCAAAATATAGCAAATTGTATTTTAATTTACAAATTTTGTTAAAATCTAACTGGATACTCCCAATTGACGTATGAATAAATGAAATGACATTAAAAAAAAAGAATAATATGATTATCTTCTATTATATGTCAAATACTGATTTTTAATTTTTAATTGTGACAAATCATTTCTCATCTCATAGTCATATCCCAAATTTATTTCCTCAAACCATCGAGAAAAAACTATAAAAGCATTGTTTCCAATTTCATAAACTAGTATGTGTCACGCGCTTTACGTGGGTTTGTCAATGTTGAAAATTTATCCTTCAAAAGTATTAATTAGATAATGTAATTATTGATACTAGTGTAGTGCCCGTGCGCTGCACGGTGAGATTCGATTTAATCTTCGAAATGTAGTATCAATGTTAACTTCGTAGGAAAGGAAAAAATTTTCGATATTTGTATGAATGATTATTTAGTAAAGATACCGTTTATTTCCTTTTAAAATAATACCTTTGTGATAAAAATACAAGTGTTATCTAAAACAGATAATATGGGAAAAATCACACATGTTTGAATGTGTATAGTTTCAAGCCATGCCAGATTGCATTTATTCAAAGAGATTAAAAAAAGAAGAAGAAGAAGAAGAATAAGAAAAAACTCGTTTTATTGATGACAAATTGAAAAAGTTTTTTTTTTTACAATTTCGTAAACAAAAACTTTGTGTGTCCTCGACCTCAAATTATTATGACAATTTCGCAAACACTCTTAGGCTTGAATGAAGTATTATCATTCCAGCTGGTGCCTCCCCGTCTCATCTCATCTGTCATGAAGATGATCAATAACATATTAAAATGTTTTTTTTTCTCCAAATATTGTACCTATAATGAAACAAAAAAAATTTAGAAAATTTCGTGCACAAGGAAAAGAGATGCGAGGTTCAATTTATGTGCAAAAGATTTAAAAGAAGAAATAAACAGAAAATGATACTCCATTTTTTGCCTCAACGGTCAACATAAAATTCCGCATCATTAATAAATAATACGGCAAAAACACGACTATGTCAAAATAATCACAACAAAATAAGTATGAATACTCCTGATCATCTGCAGCATCAACTTTCTTGAAATCCATTGAAATTTATGCATCGAAACAATCCCATTTCATTCACCTAGCAACAATATCACTACAAACACAAAACCTTTGGAACCCATCAAATTTTAATCTTAAATCCATATTCAAACTCAAACACCATTAATCTAAAATTAATTAAAACACCGAATATGTTGAAATATTACCTTTTAGGGCTGACTATTAGGACGGAACGTGTTGTTGGAAGAATTAAATGTGGTATTTGTGATGAACAATGATATCTTTAAGAAATAGGAAAATCCGAGGTTCGTGAAAACACGATTTCCTTAAAACATATTTGCCCCCTCCTAAGGTGCTAGAGGATTATGGGCAATTGTTTTCCAAGATACAACGCAGAAACGTGAAAACTACTTAGCACTAAGCAGCTCCACCGGCGAACTGGAACTTAGAAAATATTTGATGAACACCAAGGAAGAGGAAAGAAAAAGCTAAAGCAAAATTTATAAAGAAAATTAGGTTCCATAGAATTAAACAAATTGAGCCACTATTTATATCATTAAGAGACCTTTTAAATTCAGCAAAAAAACACAACGGTCTTCTCATGTTAATTCACTTTAATTGTAGCTGAATAATTGTGAGTTAAATTTTTAAACATTTGTAACCACTCAACCACTTATTCTAGTCATTTAAATAAATTACTCCTACAAATTCAAAACTGAAACGGTCAGTTTTATTTGCAACAAATTAATTCCTGTGCTAAATGAAATATTATATTCATTAACACCCTCATAACCATTGGTAATCAATCTGGTCAAATTCGGATTAAATAAAAACCGTTTGGAATTAATTCAAGCAGCAAAAGTCTCTCTATTATTTGACTGAAAAATTAATCTGAAACAGAGCAAACGTGGGTTGATCAAGTCCATGAGAGTTCGGTCCGATATTTGTGTCCGCAGGTTGGGCACATACACGAGTTAAGCTACTCCGATTGCATAACCTCAATTTTCCAATCTATGAGAAAACAATTCTCATTCAAATTAATAGCTCATTTCCAACACGTGTTTTGGAATCTTACCTTTTAATTTAAAATTCAAATATGTTCTGATTTAATATACATTTGGGAACTTTTGATACATTAACCAATCTCACAAGATAATCTCTCAGATTTAATATATTTTAAGCAAAACAATCTTATCTTAATATCAAACTATCAAAGTAAAATCTAATTGGAAGTAACTCTTCTATCAAATATTATCACTGGTCCAATTTTTGTACTTCCTCCGTCCCATGATTATTGTCCAGTTTGAGATTTCACTTTTAGTATAATTAATGTTAGTAGCCTGTATGATTATGGACTCCTGGAGGGAGCGAACCATTAATGCATCATGGCGTAGCCAATTACGGACTCCTGGAGGGAGCGAATCCAGCCGGGTAAGTCCTTCTCGTAATTGTCTAATTAATGTTATGTTTGGATTAAAAATATATTTAAAAAATACGTAAATTATGTCTAGATGTCTATGGCCTATTTATAGGCAAGGGGACTTTGGAGATTAGATGTGGTTCTCATAAAATATGAGACATAATTAATCGTTTTTGAAAATGAAAAATCGATAAACTTGAAGACTAAGTAGTACACAAATAAAACTTTAAGGGTCAAAATGACAATAGATTGAAAGTTTAAACTCGTAAATGCAAAAACTTATGAAATCGGGGGTTTCTCAACAATTTTTGAAAATATTCATTTTCAAGCTCTCGATAAGGAATTTGTAATATCTGTAAAAATCTTATATAGTAAATAATAGGTATTAACTGTTTACATAAAATTTTAACTGATTAATGATCAACCATTTAGCAAATGACATTTATTAATTGAGACTTGATGGTCTCAATAAACAACACGTATCAATTATCTTTCAATCCTATAATATATACTAGTATGTGTCTCGCGCTTCGCGTGGGTTTGTCAATGTTGAAAATTTATCTTTCAAAAGAATTAATTAGATAATGTAGTTATTAATATTTCTTAAAACCGTAAATTTTTCTTAATTAATCAATTTTAGATCAAAATGAGAGGTATTGTTATTATTTATGAGATGTATATTTATAAGATCTGGCAAAAAATATTACAACAAAAATTTTAAAAAGTTGTATAATAAAAATTGTCACCACTAACTAATGTTATGTTGGATTAAAAAATATATTAAAAAATACGTAAATTATGTCTAGATGCCTATGACTTATTTATAGGCAAGGGGACTTTGAGGATTAGACACAATTAATCGTCTTTGAAAATGTAAAATCGATAAAATTGAAAATAAAATAGCATATAAATAGAACTTTAAGGACTAAAATGATAATAAGTTAAAAGTGATGTTTGATAGTCTCAATTAGCGATACGTGTCAATTATTTTTCTTTCCTTTATTATATATAATGATAATGATTTCTTTGGTAACTGCTGTCAAGTTTGCTAAAAACTTTCTCCATTTATTCATTGTCAAAAACAAAACCTTCTATATTTATTCACTGACAGAACGAAACATAAAAGGTTCTATATTCATCCGTAATCTGTTCATAGTTCATACAGTCAATTTCATACCGTCTATATTCACTGACAAAAACTTCACGTCTACCTAAAAATTCACAGAGAAATGAAAAAGTATATAAATAAAGTGGCATCATCATCATCAATCATCACCCAATCCCTCCTCATTCCTTCCTTAACCCACCAATCTTTCCTGTTTCTTTTCTTCTTCCTTTGCTTATAAAACCTCAACAAAATTCTTTTGAATTTCAATCTAGACGCACAGAGGTAAATTTCACAACAGGGGAACACGATGAAGGGATCATCATCATCAGCATCAACACCATCATTATTTGTGTGCACAAACAAAATCACCAAAGTGGCGTGCTTAGCAGCGTTATCCCTTTCAGGCTTAGCTTTTTTAGTCTACACCAACACGATCGACTTCAATTACAAATCCACATTCTCAATGCTGGATATCAGCTCAATTTATCCCCGTTCCCCTTGCCTCTCTGGATCATCTCCATTTTGCCCATCTAAACCCCTCAGGGTCTATATGTACGACTTGCCCAGGAGATTTCATGTTGGTATGATGCGAAAGGGTAGTAATCAGGACGATAACGCCGCCGTCACGGCGCAGAATCTCCCGCCTTGGCCGGACAGGTCTGGGCTTAGGAAGCAACATAGTGTGGAGTATTGGCTGATGGCTTCGCTATTGTACAGCGGCGGCGGTCGTAATAATAGTGGGGAGGCGGAGGAGGGGAATAAGACGACGTCGTCGTCGGAGGTGTGGGGAAGTCAGGAGGCGGTTAGGGCTTTGGATCCGGAGACTGCTGACGTGTTCTTCGTCCCGTTTTTCTCTTCATTGAGTTTTAATACTCACGGACATAACATGACTGATCCCGATACGGAAATTGATCGGCAGTTGCAGGTAATTGTATGCTTCATGTGTGTGTGTGTGTGTGGGGGAGGTTATGGTTAGCTGTTTGGCAGTCTTGGGGTGAATTGTGCTGTTCTCTTTTTATTTTTCCTTTTGGGAAGAAGAAAATATTGATGATGATCATCATATGATATAATGTTCCCTTTTGGGTGATTAATTGGCAGAACTAAACATGATGTGTTCAAACTAAAACAATGCTGTGTGATTTTGTGAGAAACTATGTAAAAATATATTATCAGAACCCTCAAAGTGAGACAATTAGTTAGAAGTTGAGAAAGTAGAGCAAGCTGAGATTTTCTTTTTGAGTGTTTCAGTTGGAAAGAGGGATAATTGAGAGTATAATGTCTGGATTTGAGATTTGATTAATATGATAGAATTATGTCTATTGTGTCATTGTATAGTGTAATGATGTAAGCTCAATTGTTGTTGTTCTTCTAACTGGGAGATTTAGCGAGATGAGTACTTCAGTGATTTGTTTGAAAAGGAGAATTGGAGGCCTAACCATGTAGTCGGACTGCAAATAGTTTGTTAACAGCGTAATGCTAGTTGTAATTTGGAAATATATCAAGATGAGATTTTGAGTGACTTACGAATTGGCTGGGGGATGTGATTTGTGGGTTTATGGAAATCTTGGTTTTGCTGTGTTATGTAATACCGTTTTTATCTTGAAGTTATCGAAGTCCAAGAAGAAGTTGGCTATTTGTTTCAGATTTTTGAAGGATGAATTTAAAAACTTGTTCAGAACCTATAGATTCGTAATACAAAATTCTCTGGCTATTAGAGAAGAAGGAATAGAAGAACAGGAAGAAAGGCGCTGCTTTTAGGCTTCAGAACTTGGATTGTTTGTTTGCTTAGCTGCCCTAAAGATTTTATAGTTTCCTTTGGGATCACCTTGTGTATGCATTTACGGTTGCTTCTGTCAAATATGAACTGCAGTTCAGATCTCCTTGGTTACCCTCTGATCACTTTTCTTTTTGGTTATGCAACATAGGTCGACCTTCTTTACATTCTCCACAAATCGCAATACTGGCAGAGATCTGCTGGTCGGGACCATGTGATACCAATGCATCATCCAAACGCTTTTAGATTTCACCGAGATCAGTTGAATGCTTCAATTCTCATTGTGGCAGATTTTGGCCGTTATGACAAAGCCCTGGCTAATCTCCAGAAAGATGTTGTCGCTCCTTATGTACACATAGTGGATTCCTTTGAGAATGATGACTCCCCTGATCCCTTTGCATCTCGAAAAACTCTTCTATTTTTTCGGGGAAAGACACTCAGAAAGGAAGTAAGCTTTGTAGTACTGTTGTTGAAAGTTTTACTCCACAATTCTATTTTTCTCCTGGTTATGGGGAAAGCACTGGAGTGGGGAAGAGTAACATTCTCCTATACATGTAACAGGAGGGACGGGTACGTGCTAAACTTGAACATATATTGATTGGTTATGAGGATGTCATCTACGAAAAGAGTGATCCAACAGGAGAAGCCGTGAATGCTGTAAGTCACACTCCCTTTTCTTACATATACAACCATTAAGAAAAAGAGGTCTTTGGCTCTTATTTGAATTGTTGCTTTTACTTATCTATGTGCTTTTAACTTTCACGTACGGTACAGAGATTGTGATATAGTGTTATAACTTCCTCCATATGCTGCTGCATAAAATTATGAGGCTACAGACTTGAACATCCTTGAGACTTTGTTTTAAAGGATTGCTTACTTGAATCTGACTGTTTACTTGGGTTTATCTACATGAGATTCTGTTTTGTGTCTGTGGAGAAGATTTTAATTGTTTGAGTTTATGCCTGCTTTGTTGACGGTCTTTTGTGAATGTAAGATGGGAAGTCACAAGGAAGCCGCCATTTTTCTTTTCTGAAAATCATCTTTGTTGCGATCATCAGTACCCCCATCTCACCTTCCATCCCGCTTTTTGTTAAATCAGTCTATGCATGGAATGCGTTCGTCAAAATTCTGCTTACATGCTGCTGGAGACACCCCATCATCCTGCCGGCTTTTTGACGCCATTGTTAACCATTGTGTACCTGTCATTGTGAGCGACCATGTCGAGCTTCCTTATGAGGATGAGCTTGATTACAGTGAGTTCTCCATATTTTTCTCCGCCAAAGAAGCTCTCCAACGTGACTACATGGTTTCTGAACTTCGCAAGATATCAAAAGAAAGGTGGATCGAGATGTGGAGACGGTTAAAAACCATCTCTCATCATTTTGAATACCAGTATCCTCCAAAAAAGGAAGATGCAGTCAATATGATATGGAGACAGGTGAAGCATAAAATTCCTGCAGCGAATCTCGCTGTGCATCGGAGCCGGAGATTGAAAGTTCCTGATTGGTGGAGAAGATAGTTTTTTCTTTTAACCCTTCTGGGAGCCGTAATCATGAGATTCTGTACATTTTACACACGGATGCAGCATTAGCAAAAGCACATTCAGGGGATGTAAAAAAGATGTTGAGTCCTGAAAGCACAAGTTGGCTTTTTATGAAGAAATGGACCTCGAATGGGATAAGGCAAATCAACACTTGGTCTTTAAGGTTCGAATTTTTTCTTTCATTGTACCATATAAAGTTCCATTGCTTACTGCTAAGAAATGCAAAATAGAGTGTAGCTTTACTGCCTTAGTACACTGGAAAATCACCATATTCTAACAATCAAATTTTGAGCTGAAACATTCATTACTCCATCAGCTAGGATTTTCGTTTTTGCTTTACAATCTTTTCTGTAAAAGTCTAAGATGGACTGTAACTACAGCTAGGATTCCATGGCTCTGTAACTACAGCTTGTAGAGGTTCTCTTGTAAGTTGCGTCTCGGCCAAAGGTCTAAGATGGACTTGAGTTCATATACCTATTCCACATAATCTCTTACTGTTTGATGTAAAAACTATCAGCGATTTTGCAAGTCATATAGTAGAAAATTCAAAGTTTGTGAGTTGGAATCTTGTTTGGCGCGTTCTTGTGCAATATGGGCATGTGTTTCACACACAATGCACTCAACTAGTACCAAATTAATCATAATATCATATGCTCTGCAGCAATTAAATCCATGTGCTTTGGAAGCCATGATTGTCATTACGCATGTTCCGCACCTTAAATGGTCTCTTTCCAACGTGTTCATACTTATGCAAAGATACACTAAAATTTGAAGGGGGAAAAAAATTTAAAAGTTGTAGACTAACAAGGGGTTATCAAAAGAAGTAGATTTGGCGGTCAAAATTGTCCATCTTTTCATATCAACAAACTGAAACGAAAAGATGGGGTAGTTTTTCTAATCCAATAAATGACAAGAATCATGGATCAGCTTGGGGTAGTTTTTCTAATCGAATAAATGACAACAATCATGGATTACCTTCAGCTTTTGACTGAATCGACTAAGCAAGAACAGAAGACACATGCAACTAGAAAAAGAGTAGAGATGATCTGAGTCATAAGTAATTCAGCCGTTATGAAATACAGAAATAATGAATGAACAGAAAAGATAATGGTTTTCAATTATTGAAACTGCATGCATCAAATTGCGGACAATACTATTTTCTTTTTTTTTTTATCAGAAAGAACAAGCATATAGACATTACTGCATTTTGCAGTTTTGCAGTATGGTCCTCTCAAAAGTAAATGAGAACACAAAGACAATCAAACAGAATTTTGTAGAAAAGTATCTAAACATATTCAAAATAAAGAAAAAGTAACAAGTTCTAGGAAATAGGGATATTCATGAGTTAGAACAAAACAGCTTAGTACAAAAATCAAGTAAATCTCTCTTTGATTTTCCAACATTCTGGGAATAGCAATATTCATCCCTATTAGTAGCAAAACTTGATCTCCCATCCACTACTAAGCACAAAGAAAATAACAGATCACAAAATGTTTAACTGATGCCCAACATGTAACAAAGATGCAACTTCTATCTATTTTCCTTGACCTCAAGCCTTCCTGGCCAGCTGAGACTCCGGCTGCAAAAATTGAAGCAAACAGATTATGAAACGAACCAAAATAATAACAACACATGACACTTTGTTTGAGATATAGAATTTGCAAAAACCATGTCTATTACCTCCTTCTTGACAGGCTCTTCCTTCTCAGACAAAATCAACTCGATATGGCAAGGGGAAGACATGTAGGCTGCAAAGATTTAATAATCCTCGGGTCAATATCAGAACCCTAACAGACATAAAGAAATATGTGATAACAAGACTTACGGTTAATCCTTCCGTGGGCACGGTATGTTCGGCGTCTTTGCTTTTGTGCTTGGTTGACCTGAATGTGAGAGATGAAAAGTGAATCCACATCCAAGCCTTTCACCTGCAAGTTGTCATCCATCGAACATTAAATCTTATGAGTCCATACAAGGATGATAGCCATAAGTTAAAAAGACCATGGATAACACAATACCTCTGCATTACTCTCAGCATTCTTAAGCAAATCCAGAATAAACTTGGCCGATTTCACAGGCCAACGACCCTGCCCATTTGGATGTCTGTTCTTGGCCTGAGCAGTACGCCCAACACCTCCACAGAAACGTGTGAAGGGGATCGCCTGTTTGTGGGCCAAAACATCTTCCAGGTATCTCTTAGCCTTGTCCAAGGGCAACTTGCGGATTGCATGTGCAGTTTCCCTGGTGTTCTGCAAAGACACAGCTAACACCGTTAGTGCTGGTGCTTTAAATGCAAAATTAAAATCCACTCAAAGGCAACATTTGCGTAGATATTAAAGTATCACATGGTTATGAGAATGTAGGGAAGATGATTGTTGAAAGTTTTCAACAAAATACATGAAAAACAACTGCCCATCTTCCCAAATAACAATATTGCAGAGAACTCTTTCGAGCAGAGTGCATTGAAAAAATAGCACCACGTCGATACACACAATCCCTGCTTAGGGCTCGTAGGTAGTAATGAGCAGCACATGATCCTTCCTGACTACTAATAAGACTTTGAAAGACTACTACATACCCCCTCTCCCTTTATACCTTCTCAATTTCAAATAATAAAAGAGATTTGAAACCAGAAATAAAAAATAAAGTCTCCTATGCATTTCAGAAAAACATTACATTTTCACTTCACCAAGCAATTCAAACTCTAAAACAAGATACACATGGCCAAGAGCCTAGAATCCACAAGGCGTACCAATAAAATAGAAAATGCTCAAAAGAGATACATCAGAAGTGGCACATGTAAACGAGCTATATAATAAAAAAGCTATAAATGAAAGGCCAACAAAATATGGAAGAAAAAAGATGTCGCATCATTTACTGAACCTTTCAATCATGAAGCATTCAAGAGGTTCACCCAATAACAATGGAACTTCTATATCCCTGAAGTTTACGAGAGGCCCGTTCATGATGAAAAGGAAAAGGCCCCTGCTTTTTTCATCAGGTTATCTTAAACAGTTAAAAACAAGGACTGAACAAATCTGATACCAAGTTGAAAAGATCTTTGATTTATAGTCCTCTATTGTACAGTTCAAACATTACACACATCAACTACAAGCCATAACTAAAAGTGAGTACACAATTTAATCATACAAAAAATGTGACATTGTTTACTGAACCAATCCATCATTAAAATTCAAGAGGTTCACCCAATAACAATGCAGTAAGTTCTATTTCCCTGAAGTTTACGAGAGGCCGATTCACAGTAAAAAGACAACAAGCCCCTGCTTTTTATCAATCAGGTTATCTTATCTTAATCAACAAAATACATGATTAGCTGATAGTCAAAACCTCAAAAACATAAACCCAAAAAGGCCAACATCAATATAACAAGCTAAAATCACTCTAACATCAGGTTGCTCTTCAACATGTGGTTCAACAGAACACAACATTAAGTGAGTCTGAGTTTGATGCTTGAGTGTTCTTCTTATTAGATTAAGTGAAAAAATTAAACAGATTTTCCAGTGACATACTCATCCATTAAACATCAGAGTAAACCGACCATAGCTAAAAAGAAAATTGCACAGAAATCCACACGTAAAATAAGAAGCAGCTACCTTATATCAGAAAGATAGAAACGAAGTTACCTTGAAATGAACACGAAGATCAGATCCCCTAGCCTTACAAGCTGCATTGAAGGAAAAAAAAAGGGAAGCAAAACCCTTTAAGTAAAAAGAAATTCAAAGAAACAGTACACCAAAAAAAAAAGAAAAAGAAAAGTTCTTGTAGGAAGAGAATTTACACTTAGTCTGATTGTCCGGCTCCCTCGAGTACTTCACCTGATTAACCAATCCAAAAACACAAACACATCAGTCAAATTAATGCGATCCGTATTTCCACTGAAACGAAAAAGAAAAAAGAAGATAAAAAAACATCAACGGCGAAGAGTTCCAGCGAATCTTCAAACGCCGTAGATGAATTAGCAGACGGAAAATCCTTAAAAGGAAGTGCAGTAAGCTTTAGGGAGAGAGGAATACTCACCATTCTGATTCTGGTTCAGCGGCGGAAGGAAGAAGGGCTAAAATGCAGACGACGACTATTTCAAGGGTTTTTGAAGATAAATGACGGAAACCCTAGTATTCTTATAAGGGGTTTGCCACTCGGCCCGTGGTAGACATAAACAGCGTGGGCTGGCACAATGTTTTTCCAAACTTTTTAATAGCAATAGAATGGGCTAGTGAGTATCAATAAGCTAATGTTATCAGCCCAGTCTTATGAACTAATACTTTATCGGTCCCAAATTAGTTATTATCAGTAGACTTTCAATTTTTATTTATTTTATTTTTCGGGTAAAGGCAGACACTATTGTGCTTTTGTGTGAATCAAATTTCATTTTTACATAAAAACATTAAAATATTTGAATTAGCAAAGTGCTTTTCCATTTTTCTTGACCAAATAAATAATGTTTTACATATCTCCAAATAAAAAGATTTTTGGGAATTATGAAATATTTTATCATTATAATCGATTTGATTCAATAAGAGTGAAGCTAGATCGAATAATGTTTTTAACTTTTAACCAGTACTATCTTACGTGTTCATTCTAAAGTCGATAATTCTAATCCTATGAACCACATCATACAAAATTAACCACTTGGGTTTACAAAGAACTATAACAATAATTAGTATAAAGATGATAATAATGATCACTGAGTTGATGCATATTTAACAATTTATACATATGGAGTGATATTGAAGCAAACAGCATATACTTTGCTTTCTACCTTTGTAATCCCTTCATTAACTTTACATTTTTCAACTAACTCAGTTGTTCAAGGAAGAATATAAGCAAATTAGTACCGAGATATAGTTAGTATCTGGTGTTTTTCTTGTCAGCTACTCTAGTAACAGTGAAATCAATCTCTTGTTTAGTCCCCTAGCCTATCACCATACATTGCCTAGGCATCAAATCAATCCCTTGTGTGCATTAACACATCTAACTCAACCAAAAACTTCAGGTAAAGAAAGCAGGAATTGTCCATAGTCAATTCGTCTTGATTATAAGGTCCTCAACTATAGAGCATTCATTCTGTTAGCATTTCCATTATATCTCCTTCTAAACGTCATTGTATTCTGTGTTTGTTTACTTTATAATGCTATTTTTTGTACAGCTTATTACAAGGTTGATGACATGTTAAAGCTTCATTCAGATTAGTCCAATGCATATTAATTTGTTATTCTTGCTACGGAAGATTTGATCTTTTTTTTTTTTTTTTAATTCAATTTTTCCCAAGTTGTAACCCCATCATTGTTTCCTGATGTAGGAATGGATTTCATTGGAAAACTGATCAACATTTTGAAAGGCATATGGAGAGCGTTTGTGAGAAGATTTGGGTCTTTTAGAAGAATTGCCTCCAGCAATAACCCCAGAGAGGTTGCTACAGCAAAACAACACCCAGTAAAGGCCATAGGATGGGCAGCCAGGGATGAATCTGGTGTGCTATCTCCGTTCCAGTTTTCCAGGAGGTCACCTGGAGAGAATGATGTGATATTCAAGGTGCTGTATTGTGGGATTTGTCACTCTGATCTTCACAGCATCAAAAATGACTGGGGCGGATCGAATTACCCTATGGTTCCGGGGCATGAAGTTGTCGGTGTAGTCAAACAGGTAGGCAAAAAAGTGAAGAAATTCAAGGTTGGAGATAAAGTTGGAGTAGGCTGCATAATTGGTTCATGTCATTCATGTGAAGATTGCAAGAATAATCTTGAGAACTACTGTCCCAAGATGGTAGCAACTTATAACTCTACCTACTATGATGGAACACCAAACTATGGAGGGTATTCTGACATCATGGTTGTCAATGAAAATTACGCGATTCGCTGGCCAGAAAACCTGCCTTTGGATAGAGGAGCTCCTTTACTTTGTGCAGGGATTACAACTTATAGTGCAATGAAGTATTATGGACTAGATAGGCCTGGATTGCACATTGGCGTGGTCGGGTTAGGTGGATTAGGCCATTTGGCTGTGAAGTTTGCTAAGGCATTTGGTGCTGCCAAAGTAACTGTGATCAGCACCAGTCCTGGCAAGAAGGATAATGCAATTCAGGGTCTTGGCGCAGACGCCTTTCTCATTAGCCACGACAAAGATCAGATGCGAGCCAGTGCAAACACGATGGACGGGATCATTGACACTTGTGCCGGAGTTCATGATCTGGGAACTCTAATTGGTTTGTTGAAGTTCCATTGTGTGATTGTTACTGTTGGTTTGCCTCAACAGCCTCTGCCACTTCCTGTGTTTCCATTGTTTAACGGGAGAAAGGCGGTTGCTGGAAGCGCTATCGGTGGCATCAAGGAGACGCAAGAAATGATTGATTTTGCTGCAGAACATAACATAACAGCTGATGTTGAGGTTGTTCCGGTGGGATATGTAAATACTGCAATGGATAGACTTGCAAAGGGAGATGTCAAGTTCAGGTTCGTCATCGATGTTGCCAACACTGTGAGAGGCTAGCTACCTTAATGAACCTCTAACTTGCATTATCCTTGCATTGTTGTAATGAGTTTGTTTGAATAATGGTTTCTGTTCAGAATAATTTTTCATGGACCACACTCATACAGAATCTTGTTGTAATATAAGCAATCATAAATGTCTTGCGTGTGAATGTTATAAACAAAAATGATGAGCATGATATGAAATTGTACATTTTTATTAGGGCAAATGCTGAGGAAACAAGACAATATCAGATGTAAGGAATATCCAAGCTAACTAATTCTTTCTTATCGGATGTATATAATACAACCAAGAAAAGTACAACAATTGAATCATCTACAAGAACTACGGTAAGCATCAAAAAATACTAATACGAACCAATGTTGAGCCAACACCCGGGAATTTATGTACCCTTTTGTAAGAGAAACAGAAAAAAAAAAAAAAATGTCAAGAATTTCCCAGGGATCACATAAGCTAAAGTAACGGAAATACTGATGGGGAGATAAACATACAAAATTTTGATGAGGTAGCAAGAGAAATAGCCAAAGCTTCATCAGATCAGTTTCCCAGAATTGTGTGAAGAACATGCAGAACACGACATCTCTTTGGTTGCGGCTATGATTTCTGTGTTTTTTCCTTCTTTTTTTCACGATCCAACCTTGTCAAGATTCTCTGAGACGGTTTTCATTCTTGGTCGAAGTTCAGGGTCTGCTTCAGTACAGGCAAGTGCAACATGAAACACGGCGAGTACTTCCTTCTTAGCATGTATTTCTTTAAGCAACATGGGATCTACCATGTCCGATAGTGGGTTTTCCTCCTCAAATCCCTTCCGAACCCATCTCACTAGGTCTGGAATAATTTCTGCAGAAGAAGTCGATGTGGATGTTGGAGACGAGAGCTCTGGAGATTTTCCTGTCAGCAACTCGAGCAATACGACTCCAAATGAATACACATCCCATTTTTGGGTAGGTCGGCTTCCCGTGACACGAGCTTCTGGTGAGCGATAATTGTTAGGCCTCTCAGTTTGTGATGCTGACTTTATGTAAGGAAGGGCACCACCAATAAAGCCACCAGATGATGAAGGATTGTTGCCAGTTATATTGATCAGCCGGTTGAGGCCAAAATCGGATATGTGCGGTTGAAAATCATTGTCAAGGAGAATGTTGGAGGGCTTAATGTCTCCGTGGACAAACTTTCTTGGGCTACATTCATGGAGATAGGCCAAGCCTCTTGCTGTACCTTTAGCAATCTTCAGTCTGGTCCCCCAAGATAAGTTGGATGAAGCCTGACCTGTCCGCCCTAAATGAACAAATGAAGCTGGTCAGCTTAAAACTATCCAGTAAATGTTTGTCAATACAGCATTCAATGCAACAGCATGCTGTCACAGAACAAGTACAGAGAAACTCCAAGAGAGACAGTTTAGAACTTGTCTCTGTTATCCATGAGCAAAAAGTCTCAAAAAAGATCGTGCAGTCTTGGGTTCTCAGATTTTGCTTCACTTGAATCAATACAGAGTTAAGTATTATTACATGCTTCATCGAGAAGCAAAGATCAAAATCATTATTGTTTAAGGACTATTTAAATCAACACAGAAACAGGTGAATGCAATGATCTGCTGACAAGCGGAAAAGATTTTCTGTGAAGTGGAACCATTTATGACAGCTGATCATCAAACTGTAATGCCTGAGTCATCACCAACACCAGAAAAACGCAGCAAATCCTCTTAAATATAACCACAGACAAACTCCAAATATATAAAACAGTGCAAGAAGTTGCAGATCACATTTTTACACAATTGAGTAATCAACAACATCCCACATTTGCTCATAGAATCAACAAAAAACTGTATCTTTGCTGACATTTTCCATACATTCCACAATGTTAGAGGATGGATTAAAAGATTGCCAAATCAAATGGAAATTGGAGTCAATGTTCTGTTCACAGCAGTGTACGAACTGAGTTACAGATCAATTTATGACCTCAACACTCCTCTATTGGTTAAACAAAAAATTAAATCTATAACTTTAACGTCTTTTTCATTCCATTCCATCAACAACTAAGGAGCAAATGGAAAAGAATGAACACATATCAATGGCTTGCTCAATCCATATTCAAAGACTAAGTAAAAGATAACATAGACAAGATCTAGGAGGGGCAAGAAGGCCATACCATGAAGAGCAGAAGCCAAGCTGCCGTTGGAAATGAAATCACTAATGAGAAGCTTTTCATCAGGAGCCCAATAATAAGCTCTTAACTTCACAACGTTGGGATGCTTCACCCTTCCAATTGCCTGAATCTCCGACACAAACTCCTTGTACCTCTGTTCACCACCTTCCCCAAGTCTCCTCACGGCTACTGGTATGCCATTCCCAAGCACAACCTTGTACACTATCCCCAATCCACTCTTTCCCAGCACGTAAGCGGATGCCCTCAACAGCTCATCAAGCTCAAAATTAAAGCCTTTATCAATTGCAACAAGATCCCCTTCACTTCCACCATTAGTACCATTTCCTCCACTATCCGCTCCCTTTTCAGAGTCCACTTCCGAGTCATTACTAGGAAATCCACTAATACAAGGAAAAGGGCACAACTTTCTCCTCTCATTTCCACCAAACTTCCCTTTCCCAGTACAACTACAACTTCCTCCTGAATCTTTCTTCTTCCAATACACATAAACAATCACTAATCCTATTAATGCAACTCCAATTGCATCCCCCACCGCGATCAGTATGATCAACCCTGGCTTCAGCCCTTTTCTAGTTTCCTCATCCCCTTCATCTTTCTTCAAAGAAGGCTGGGTTCCTGAAGGGTTTTGTGAGTCATTTTTACACCCCTTTTGCAATGGAAATCCACACAACAATGGGTTATTCAAAAATGCCGTCGGACCCTGATTAGCAAATGAACCCGTTTGGGGAATTTCGCCGGTTAAATTATTGTTCTTCAGATCAAAACTAACTGTAAGGGGTAAATCACCTAAGGACTTAGGAATTGGCCCGCTAAAATGGTTGAAGGAAAGATTCAATGTCCCTGTTAATGATTTCAATTCTCCCATATCTTCAGGAATTGGACCAGTAAATTCATTTGACGAGAGGTCAAGCTGCTCTAAGTTGGCCATTTCCGGGAAAATGCCAATCGGAATCTCGCCGGAAAATTTATTTCCCGCAAGAATCAAACGTTGCAGCTGTCGGCAGTTCTTGAGCTCTTTGGGGAGAGGCCCAGAGAAAGAATTATTGGAAAGATCGAGGTTTTGGAGGCGGGGAAGGTTACAAATAGAAGGGGGAAGCACGCCGGAGAGATTATTACCGTAGAGAAACATACTGTGGAGTGAAGTGGCGTTGAAGAGCTGATCAGGGATGGAGCCGTAGAAGTTGTTTCCGTGAAGATTAAGTCGCCGGAGATAAACCAGCGAGCCGAGCTCCGAAGGAATGTATCCCCGGAGATTCTTCCCGGAGATTGCAATCCCGACGACGCGAGGCTCGTCGGAATTGGTAACATTCATGCAGGAAACTCCAGTCCAATGACACGGACTGGAATCGTCCTCCTTCCAGTCAGGTAAGGCGGCGTCGCCGCCGTCAATGGCGGACTTGAGAGAGAGGAGGGAAAGCCCATCGGAGGATAGACAAAACCCGCGCCAAAACTGAAGCGGAAAAATGACAAGATAAAATAGAAAAAATAATGTTAAAAAATTGTTCAGCATTTCTCGGTTTCCCAAAGGTTCTTTGGCCTAAAGTACAAAAGTTGTTAATGCTTTAAAGTCTAATGTCAGGCTATAACATCGTAAAAAAAAAATAAAAAAAAATACAGAGGAGTTTTGAATTTCAGAATTAAGCTGTTTTTCAGCCACCCTTTTCGGAAAGATTCAACCTTGAGAGAACAAGAATGGCGGCGGTGGAGGGTGGTGGTGCTGGTGGCGGGGAGGAGGATGGTGGTGGTGGTAGAAAAATGGAGGTGGGTTGGGAAAAAAATTAGTTGAGGTATTTATGAGAAAAAGACTAGAGAAAAATAGAAAGGAGGGTTTTGATGAGAGTGGGCTCCATCTTTTTTGCCAAGAGAGAATAGAGTAGTAGTAGAAGAGAAGCAATGTTTTGGTGATTTTTCACTGTAAAATTGGTGTGTGTGTGTGTGTGTTATATTGTAACAAAATTTTGTGGTTTATAATTTTACAAAAATCGTGATAATTGATAAAGCTATGAGCTATCTTCTATTGTACATCAACATAATACGATTGAAATATTATTCATAATGTCGACTTCACATATAATGTAATAAAATTTTTTGTTGTTCTCGTTGTGACATCCCACAATAGACTATAGTGTTGTTTTTGTTCATGATAGCATAGTAATTTTGGACAAGTTTTACTGTGCTGTAGTGGAAGAGAATTGGAAGAAGAAATGTGGTCCACTTGAGTACACTGTACAGTAATGGAGTAGAACACATTGAAGAAAGGTTATGGAGTTCATTAATGGAGGTACCTATTAATAGTGCCATTCAATTCCTAACAATATTTTGTCCTAACCTTTTTATGGAGTCAAATTTGCAAAGATCAAGATTGTAGATTGTACACGTCGTACAGGTAAAAAAATAAAAAATAAAAAATTTCCTTTCTCCTCAAGTCAACTATTTATCACGTGTAGGTAGCTGATGTTAAAGATCACAACCCCAAAACCACAATTGAGCATTGAGCATTTTTACAGTTCTAACTTCAAAGTTCAGTTATAGGTTTTCATAGTATGGACGACAAAACTACTGACCATACTGCTTTTGTAACATGATTGTCCGTCTTCTTTGATCTGAAATGGCAGCAAAGCATAAAAAACAAGTGGGAGGAAAAAAAAAACCCCCCAAAACTTCAAAAGTTAAAAAAAAAAAAAAAAAAAACACGCACACACACGCACACGGACAGGAAATTAGTACTAGAGCCTCTGTATTACTGGGAAGCAATGAGAGGTGGTTGCAAGTGTTCTTCATTTTAATTTTGAAGCGAGTATTACCAATAAATACTGTTCTTCATTTTAATTTCAAATAGTATTAATATTTTTTTTTTATATCGTGTCATAGATTACTATGAAATATGGAGAAAATGCATAGATCTAAAAACAATGTAAGCGGGCAGCAATAGTAGTAGAGTAAATAAAAAGCTTGGGGTGTCCTGTACTATATTAGTGGAGGTGTTAATGATTATAGAACAATTCATGTTAATGTATTATAGTAATTTATATCTTCTCTGTCGTTCACAAATCTCAATCATGGAAAACATGCTTAGAAGCTAACAAAACAACGCACCAAAGAAAAAAACAAAAAGCCTGACCAAACCAAACCCTCTTCATTATGTCTCTTTTCCCCCTTCTCTTACTAAAATATGTATCTAAATATCTCATTCCCTCCCAATTTGTCAAAACAAAACGTATCATTTTTCTGAAATGTAAAATCTGAGTAGGTTGTTGATTGGGATTATTAGGATGGTCAACATCTACATTACTCCCCACCACCCTTTTGCACGTGTTTGCCTCTCATATATCAAACTAATTAGTACTTCCTCCATTCACAAATAGATGTCGCTGGAGAGATTTCACAAAGTTTAAGAAAACAATAATTATCTTGTTAAAATACTATAATACCCTCATTTATTCTTAATTCAATTGTAGTCCCAATAAAATTCACTTCTAATAAAATTTTATATTAAACATCACAACAATTTCCAATGTAAGGGTGATATTGGAAAAAATTGACAAAATACGCCTCGATTTGTGAGAATGACATCTATTTTGGAATATTTGAGTTTTCCTCCAACGACATCTATTTGTGAATGGAGGGAGTACTACTATACTACTACTAATGACTATAACTATCTAGAAGAACAAAAATTTGTTAAAACGAGATGTAAAATATAACTCATCCTCTTCATTCTTCCACCGTCGTATACAGAATTTATTCCTTCGTTTGCCATCAAAGAGGATGATTGGTGGCAAAATTGTCAGGAGAAGAGGTAGGTGCTGCAAGGAGATTGGGCCGATTTTCTCGTCGGACATTGGGCACTGAACACTGGTTTTCAGCCGTAAAATTCATCACTGAACACACATTACCATGCCCAATTTTTTGCATTTGATTACTATAGTCATAATTCGTTTTCTGGATATGGGGGGAGCAAGATTGTATACGCTTTTGGTAACTTCCACAAGTGAAACGAATAGGACACAGGATTACAATTTTGTCGAACTATCATTATCAAATCAATTACTGACATTAGAATCACAATTTAGTAAAATAACATTATCAACTTTGCACCATAAGAAATTCAATTTTGCAAATACTTGGTGAATTTTTCGAGGGAACAACTTTCGTTTTTACAACCATAGAGAGTAGGGGCGACAAGAAACACCTACATAAAAATAAGATAGATGCTTTGTAGTGAAGGGAAATCAAAACCCCCCACTACTCCAAACTACAAATCATGTATTCCTACTCTTCTCATTTCCTAGTACTTTGAATTTGTTTAAATTGCAGCTTACACATTGAGGCAAAGTCCCCCACTATCCTCATTACCTGATTTTATATTGGCTAAAAGGGGCAATCAATACATTAAATTAGCCACCAAGCAAACCAGCCATTGCACTTTCTTCTTTTCTTCTTTTTTTTCTTATGTAGAGACAGCTTTTTTACCTTCCATCATTACAGAAGCGAGTAATCTTTGGTGTATGTCACATTCAATCCTTCAAAGTCAATATCAAAGTCCTAATTTGTCTATATATTATATATCCTTGTAGTAATTTTTAGTCTAAGAGGAAAGGTGACTTATCAAGGATGTCCATAACACGACTACTCGCCAGTTGAACCAAGATCCACTGTCCAAAGAGTAGTATAAACTATAAAGCCTTGTTGCCCTACGAATTGGGAAGCACACATCAACATATTCCCACATGCCAGACCTCCACAACATTATTCATCTACCAGGTATAGCCATTCTACAATGCAACATTCTAATCTACCCCAATCTCCTTCCAAAACCACCCCCTGACATGTGAAGCAAGCATACAAATTTTGACTGGAAAACAAAATAAGAAATCCACAAAAATATCAAACGAAAACTACCATCACATGCACCACAAAATCACAAAATAAAGACAAAAAACTACACGAAGGAATAAAAGCCCATCTGAGAAAATGAACACACATCAAAGAACATAATAGCCCGAATCCAGTAGAACCCTGTTTTCATTCACACAACTGCAGCCAAAAAGGATAAACATGCAACGCTGTCCATTTCAGAGCAAACTCTCTACAAAAGTTCATAATCAGTGGAGAAAAACAAAAGCAGGGGAAAATAATTGTTTAGCCATAATTAAATCTTCACGTCAGAAACTTGATATCTTCTAAATTAAATTGGCCATAATATCTGAGATCAGATACAAATTTCAGCGCTCGGATCCAGGACATCCTTAAGCCGCGGCATCAACCATCTCATGTTCAGTAGTCGGCTCAACTGGAAAGTATTGATAATGCAATTCACCTACATCATCACCAGAGAGCTTCTTCCACCCGTTGGGTCCTACGTGGTAAACTTTAAAAGGGGGAAAAAAAAAAGGGAATGTACATGTAAGAAACAGATGAACCACTTTTACATTGAAAATGAGAAGAAAGCAACAGTGAGATAACAAGCATTACCGCTGACAACACCACCACTAGCACCGTCACGATATGTAGCATGGTAGATTGCACGCCTAGCCAACTCAGCGGCTTCAGCAACAGACATGTCATAACGATACCTGTAAAAACAACCACAAACACCAAAAATCGGTAGGTAAATCAGGTAAACTTCACGAAAACTGATGAAAATGGAACCAAACAAAAATGAAAGTAGTTAAATAGTAGTGAAAACTCAAGACAATGGAACCAAACACAAACTGAAGTACTTAAATAGTAGTAAAACATGGGCAAGCCAAGCATCCTTTCTCAAAAATAGAAAAGAATCAACGCAACAAAAGGTCCAGGTGTTACAAAAGAGAAGTAAAAAGTAAGAAAGCTATTAACGAATCATAAACTAAACAAGGACAAGGAAAAAGAGGCATACCCGCTGTCCAAAACACCATAAGCATATGGAGAACCAGATCCAACAGAGAAGCGGTTTCCTTTCAGCCTACCACCCTCGCTATCAACATAATACAGACCAGGACCCTATACAAAGATGTAAAACATGATTCACTCCAGAAACAGGAACAATGCAAATCCTCTCAACTAAGCTTGGCCCTATTGCATGATTAAAACAATAATTAACAGTACCTTCTCATCCCACCCTGCAATCATTGTTCCAACAGACAAACCCATTCCACGGTAGGAATACAGGATATTGGCCAGTAACTTTGATGCCCCTGTGACAGAAATCCGTCTTTTGTTCGCAAGTTCATGCAGACGGCACTAAAATATAAAATGAAACTAATCAGTATTCCCAACAACATGCTTTACCTTCCTTCAGGAATTAAGGATCACAACATATTCCACATGAAAAACGCAAGAAATACATGTTCCCAAACTACAGGGCAATTTCAGATTGCATAAAAGTCACAAAGAAAGAACTTTACACTGCACTGTATTAATATTATAAGCAACCTAAAAATACCTTAATGCCCAAGTTTCTATGCCAGAATTGGCAATCAGCAGCACCTCCAGCCATAGTCCCCAACATGTATGGGTTGATTTCAATGATTTTCTTCACCGATTGCGAAGCTGAATTCAAGAAGGAGATTTACTTAAATATTCAGGAAAATTAAAAGAACACAAGAGAGCATAGTCACAAAATCAAATACATGTCCAAACAAACATCAAATAGCTTAGCTAAACAGAATAGTTTTAACAAAGACCAGCTCAAAGATACTTATGAAGGCAGTTAAAATTTGCTGGTTGCATAAATGGTATAAACCAAACAGAATAACAAATAACTCACATATATAACCGCCCATGCTCGCCCGCGAATCAGCGGCAACCATAACTCCTTCATTGAAAATAAAAGCTAGGGTCGTGGTTCCCTTTGCTGGCTTGACCATTTGAACGGCTTCTTTCTGGAACTTATCAAACTACAAGCAACATCCCAAAAATAAATAAATTTAATTAATCAAACCAAGCAAAACACACACAGCCAAAAGACAAAAGAGAGAAACAATTCGTAAATAAAGTGTAACAGAACTGACATCATTAGCCAGGGGAATTTGAAAATCGGGAGCAGTCGACAGGCCACCGGGATGCTCGGTTGCGCACTGACTGAAGAGTTCTCCCCTCAAAGGAGCCGTCGATTCAAGTCCACTGAAGCCGATATCCATTGTTTTGGCTTGTAATCTGAGCAAAATTAAACGAAAATAAGCACCACGAACAGCAACAGCGAAAGAAAGCCGATTCAATTGATACGGATTCTTGCCCTAATTGCCCGGCTAAGATCTCATTACGTACCTCGAGAATTCAATGGAAAATCAAACAAATAAACGAGCCCTAATTCGGAGAAAATACAGTAAATCGAGAGGGATTAAATATCGTCTTACTCTTTTTATTTGCATTCACAGAGGATGAAGAACTATGCCCCAAATTTAGAGAGGTTTTCTTTTCTTGGGGAAAACTCCAGTTGCGTTTTTGTTGACTCGTACTCCTAAAAGGATCGGGTGGGTTTATTCGGCTTGGAGCAGGGAGAAGGAGAATGGTCCACTAAGTTGGGCTTCTCATAAAGGCCCAAAATATAATTTCTCCTGGGTTTGGGTGGACGGGTTTTCAATATCATTGTATATATATACGAAAAAATGCAAATATACAAAAACAATAACCAAAAAGAAAAAAGAAGAAAAAATATAGAAAAAAAAACGTAATTTTACTTCTCTTTGAGATTTTGAACGATATGGATAACTTCATCGTAGATATTTTTACTGCCTACAATACAACAATTTATCTAATGTGACATCAATGTTAGTTATTAGTAGTATAGATATTGTCACATATATATAAGATCCAACAAATAGGAGAAAATGTTTACACCAGTTGTTATGGCCTCCTTAAGTACCAATTATATATAGGTTGAAATAAAAGGGGGAAAAAAAATTATTCCTGTTTGAGGAAACAATTTATGGGTCATCTTTGGACGATATCTAAATTGGACTTGATGGGACTTGTTCATCAAAAAAAAGGGCCATGGACTGAAAATGGGACGCTATAGGCTTTTCTTGAACAATTGCTACTACTACTATTGAAATGATAAATGGGCAATATCTTACTATATTAGAAACAAAAACCACAATTAAGAGAAAGCACTATCATTTGCCATGTAGCATTTCCACATCATATTTTTAAAATAAATTTTTATTACCACATCTCCTAAATTTAAAAGGCAATACAGCCTAAATTCACTTCCACCTCCTATTTTCGTCAAAAAAAAAAAACCACGGGTTCATAAAAAACCCAAATCTCCATCCCCATCTCCACGACAATCAACTCCTCAATCAATCCCTTCTCCACAATTAAAAATAAATAAATTCTTCATCAATCATCAATTGAGAATATGTGATGAAATATACTCATTTCCTATTAGCATATTCAATATTTTCATTAGTGATGATCAACTACATCTTAATCGGATAAAATTTTAACTTCAAAAAATATTCTCTTTACCTCTCTATATAAACACAAAGGAAAAAAAAAATTCTCATTGATCTTGCTTCGGCCGTTGTGGTGGTGCCATTGCAGGTATTAAAATTTAAATGATTTTATTTCCACAGATCATTGGTTTGGCTTTTATTATTTTTTGTTTTCCCGTTCAAAAATAGTGTTATTACTATTATTTTTATGCGTCCATCCGTTACAGCTACCGTAGCCGTTGTCAGGTAGTATGATGTGATTTCTTATTTGGTTAGTTAGCCTAGACTTTTTGTATGACTTTTTAGTTATGTTTGGATTGAATTGATTGATTGGGTTTTTGTTACAAAGTGTGGTTTTTAAGTTTGTTTTAGAGTGATTTTCTTTTTTTAATTATGGAGTCTCTGGTTTTTTTTCGTATATGGCCAATTATGAAGTGTGTTTTTTCTTTGTTTAATTACTTTTGATTTTGTTTCATACTCCCAGTTGACAAATTATTATTATTATTATTATTATTATTATTATTATTATTATTATTTTATTTGCAAATGAAGCACGTTTCTTTTTTTGTGTTCGGGGTTTCAAGAATATACTTTTTTGGATTTGGTTTTTAGACTTTTTTTAGTTCCTCATCATATAAATAGTTCAGGTCGCTTCTTTTAACTAATTTATGGGGAATCCTTTTATGAATTTGAGGTGGAGAGGGAATGAATCTATCTATATACTATACTAAGGCAAAAACCAGAGAGAGAAATCTAAAGTCAAGGAGCACATGCCACATAGGATTTTATCCTATGTGGCATTTTCTTAATTTTCTAGATATAAAAATGCATAAAATAAAACAATAATAAAAAAAAACGCAACTAAAAAAATTCAAACTCTATATTGATTCGATCAAATCCCCACAAATTCGATGGACGGATCTCTTCCTCCTAAAAAAAAACGCAACTGAAAAAGAATTTTGTATTAATAATTTATTAAAATAATTAAAGAAGTTAGGCTAACCTGAAACTTTTATAATTTAGCTTCAAATATGGAATTGAGATACTAAGGTGATGGGTTGATGTAGCGGGACTAAGAATGGCTCTGGCAAAGAATAAAAATATTAAAAGGCTCCAATTATGGCTATTCTTTCTTCTTCTTTTTAAATGTTTTGAAATCCAAATTTTCAGAAAAAGGTCATGATATCCAACCTTTTTTTTTTTTCATTTTTCTTATTAAAAAATTGGATGGCCTCTACAACAGGTTAGGGTTGTTGTTTCTGTAGTAACCATTCCTTATCATAAACCTTTTCCAAAAAAAAAAAATTCCTTATCATAATTTCTTAACCACCCTAACCAACCTTTACATCCCAGACTACCAATGTAGTCTACCAAGAAATATTATAAAATATATAATTATTTAATTCAAAGTTCTTTTTTTTTTTAATTTCTTAACAATCTTTTTTGCGTTAAATAAATTACCAGTGTATTCGTTTGGTAAAGTGTTGTCGATGTTTGTGTTTTATATTTTTCAATGAATTCATTATATATTTTATAAAAATACAAAAATCTATACAAATATTAACATTTTTTTTATTTGTTTGTGTAGTAATATCTATGTATATGTGTTCCTCGTCATCGGACGGGTCTAACACCTAGTGATGTTTCTACGTTTATTTGTATTTTTATACATCATTTTTACCTTCAGAAAAAAATAAAAATTCTCAAATTTTAATGGGCTATCTTTTACTTTTTTTTTTTATTTGCCATCGTGAGGTGAGTTCTTTTTTGCTATATCTTGAAACCTATGCAAATTTATATTATTTTCATTCTCATATTTGTGATCAACCAGTTTCAACAATTAACCAGTTTCAAAATCATATTTTTGATATTTTACTACCTATAAACTTTCGGAAGAAATAGTTCCAACAATTAAGCGTATACTCTTTGGAAGAAACTAACTACAAAGCTATTATAAATCTCCAAAACTAAGTATTGATTTGGCACAACCAATGGAGAAAATCAATAAATTATCTTACTAATATTTAAACTTATTAGGATGCTTTTATATTTTGTCTAGCATTTACTTCAAGACATATATTTGATCAAGTTTATTTATATTTAAGAAGTAACACTTATAAAATATTTCTAAAATCTTCAAACATTTCTAAAACGTACCGGACCAAATACAATTTATTTTTTTGTCAAATACAAACATCACACTTATAAAACATTTCTAAAATTCTTCAAATATTTCTAAAATATATCGGGCTAAATACAAAATATTTTTTTTCCAATTACAAACATTTCTAAGATCTACAGATATATTGGGCCAGGGTCGTGCAACCAGACATCACTACTTACATTCATAATTCATCTGGGAGTTTGTGAGATAGACTCACCGAGATTTTCTGGAACCAGGTTCTTGGGGCGGATGCCCGTTTCCATTGCCCGTGTTTCGGGCACATTCATAATTCATTACTAACAACAAAAAAAATATACCAAGGAATTATCACCTTACATATTTTTATTACCACGATTAATTCAATGTCTTAATCCGTACAAGGTTTTACATATGAGTAATGAAATTCATCACTTATATCTTGCATCCTACATGATAGTAAAAATTATACAAGTATATCATACTCTTTTATGTATTGTGTATTCTGAATTGGAGTTTGATCATACTCATTCGAAATTTTATATCTAGAACTATGGATGAATTTAGAAGTAAATATAATGTGGAACAAAAGAAAGTTAGTGAATGGATGCCAAAAGAATAATAATAATAAAGTGATGAGTTTTTTTTTTTTTTTTTTTTGAAATGAACTTTGATGAGTTAAACAAACCTCTTTAAGCCGCCGAACTCATTAATTTCAGGTGAACAAGAATAATCCAATTGCCAAAATGGTTAAAGTTAAAGGTAGGGTTTTTTTTTTCATGCAAATAAGGTGCATGCAACCAAACCAACTAACTTCCTTTATTTTGATGGGATCAAATTTCACATGCATTTGCTGAAATCCCCCCACAATACATAACATTATTGTCATAGAAACGAAAAAGAAAAATGAACTATTCCAGCGACCCCACGAATTTAAACCTCTACGAACTTGAGCCTCACAATTTGGTGCTGATCACAGTACACTTTAAAATAAATTCAAACAATAATAGTAACATATTGATCAGAGGTTTCGATCAATAATCGCACGGAAACTAGCTGTGGATGAGTATATATACCTTTTGTCCAATCCCATGATCATGAAATCCTTAAATGTGGCAGTGGCCCCTGCCCCTCTTATTTTTTTTTATGTTTTTTTTTTATTTTTTTTGAGACTGCCATATCACCTGCTAGCCTATCTAAAAAATATGATAATGTTTCCACATAGAGGTGTATAAATCTGAAGAATATGTGGGTTTGAACTTTGAAGTGGTAGTTATAATAATTTCTAAATGATGTTGGGTTAGGATGCCTAAAAAGTGAATATTTAAGAATAATCGTATTTAGATATTTGAGGATCATAACAACCTTTGGAGGGAATTCAGCCGTTGAAAATGTGATTGTTCATTCCATTTCCGACTAGTATCAAACCTTCGAATTAAGTTCGAACATCTTAATCCTTTTGATGGAATTCATTTTTTTCTGTTCACGTGAATGGTCGAAAATTGGAGGGCCACTGGTTACACGCTGCTCTGAAGTGAACCGGCAAACTACGGCCTTAATGCATGAAAGTATGATGCTCAGTTCAGTTGGCACTTGGCAGCAAATCTATATCTATTGATAAAATATACTCCCTTTGTCCCAAAAATTATTGTCCAGTTTAAAATTTCATTTTTAGTACAATTTGAACTAAAAATAAAAATCTAAACTAGACAATAATTATGGGACGGAGGGAGTAGTTAATACACAAAAATGAAGACATTTGTTATCATTGATTTGTAACGGAATATAGGAAATATTTATCATTTGCTGGCCAAAGAGTTGAAAACCCTAAAGGTTATTTTACTTGAATTTGTATATTCACTTCA